ATATTGCTGCAAGACCGCCCCAGGTAAATAGTATTGTATAACTTTTTAAAAGTCACACATGTGATTTCGTAATACTTTATGCATAGATCTCAGGGTGTCCGAAAACATATCCTTTAACAAGAAATAGTAGCTATGATGCTTATTTGAAAACTAATTAAATACATTTATACTAAAGGTTAAATGTTACAGTAACAACTTAAGAATAACAAAATCTGTCCAAAATTGCAGTTTCAGGTAAGGTGTTTAAATTGTAGTCACAACACAGCAATGCAAAGTTGCACACCTCCTTAGAGTTTCTCTTGTAACTTCGTGACACTTCTCCACTATTGTATTGGAATTATTGATCCTGTTAACGGTGTATACATTTGGAGGGGAGGAATTGCACATCCTCCTGAATTAAACATTGTTAAGAGTGTATATATGCCTGATTTTGCTGTGTTTAGTTTCATCCTCAGCTATCAGAAGTTTGGGAAACAATGCTGTGGAATTTTTTGGCTACTAAAGAAATACATTTTATTTTTAGGATACGGTAGCCTTCCAAATATTTGTGTCCTACAAATCCCTTTAGCCATATCTGGAAAATCAAGGGGTGAGGAATTATGGAAATTTGTCTACCATCTAGATCAGGCATGGGCAAACTTTAGCCCTCTGGGTGTTTTGGACTTCAACTCCCACAATTCCTAACAGCCTATTGTGCCGGCATGTAGCCGAGGGGGGGGGGGGCTTGAAGGAGTTAACCCCCCCCCCCAAATTCTCAGGGTGGTTCACGAGAAGGCCTTACTGGTACATTATTTAAACTGTTATGTTTATTCATATCATGATCCGATCACCATGCTCTAAATATCCCATATGTATGGAAGTATTGGGTATTGGGATAATGATACAAAAGTTTTGCTAGGGTAGATCCTCACCCCACCCCCCTCCAAGAACAAAATCCTGGCTACGGGCCTGCTACTGGGTGTTAAGAATTGTGGGAGTTGAAGTCCAAAACACCCGGCAGGCCAAAGTTTGTCCATGCCTGATCTCTAGGGCCACAGTTTACTGCCCTTCCTAGCGTATCATTGTGACACTTTTGTACATGGGCACAATGTTTATCCTCCAAAAGAGGTGTGGCCTTAGTGATTGCTTTGATCGATGCATAAATGCTCAGTTTTGTCCCAGGCATAGTAGTAGTAGTTAATATCAGACACAAGTTTAGGTTTACAGCCCACCAAAAATGGGTCCACTGCAGACTAGCAAACTCTGTTTCTGCTGCTGAACCTCATCCTCAGTATTACTGTTTGCTTATTCGTACCATTAATTATCAGGAGAAGATGGTAGTATTGATGTCCTGTGTCACACGTGTCAAACTCAAGGCTCATGGGCCAAGTATATCCCACCATGTCATTTTATGTGGCCCTCCAAATACTGGACTACAACTCCTGTATTCCTCATCATTAAACCACATGACTATAGCTGATGGAGTTGGGATACAATGACATCTGGAAGGCTGTGGTTTGTTCAATTTAGTCAGGATGGTATGGTTTGTGTTTAAATACAATGACCTTTAACCTTTCTCCAACCTCAGAGCCACAAGTGCTGTTGGGTTGCAATTCTCATTAACCCCAACTTGCATGGCAGGTAATAACAAGTGGTGGGAGTAGTTGTTCAGTAGCATTTGGGGAACTAAACTGGGTATAAACTAAAAAGCAGTGACCACTAAATAAATCAATTATAGTTGGCTCTCTTCTGCCCATGGATTCAATAGACCTTTGAAGGCAACCATAAGGTGGATGTGGCCCTTGGTGAAAATGAATTTGACACCCCTGTCCTATGTGGCCAGTGAACTGGCTCAAATTGGACCTGATTCAGCTGTCCACTATGCCCCAAAGTTGCAAAGCCATTTCACCCCAGGTAACCCACAATGGAGCCCCTAGTGGCACAGTGGGTTAAACCACTGAGCTGCTGAACTTGCTGATCGAAAGGTCGCAGGGTTGAATCCGGGGAGCGGCATGATCTCCCACTGTTAGCTCCAGCTTCTGCCAGCCTAGCAATTTGAAAACATACAAATGTTAGTAGATCAATAGGTACTGCTCCGGTGGTAAGGTAACGGCACTCCATGCAGTCATGCTGGCAACATGACCTTGGAGGTGTCTACGGACAACTCCGGCTCTTTGGCTTAGAAACAGAGATGAGCACCACCCTCCAGAGTCTGACATGACTGGACTTAATGTTAGGGGAAAACCTTTACCTAACCCACAATACCTTGACACCCAGGACATCAACTCAAGGTGAATCTGGGTTTTCATGCCCATGTAGGCTCATTGTTAGTTGTATTTATTTCTTGTTTTTTTCCTCCAGTGAACTTAAGTGTACCCTGGAAATAGTTGAGACCGACTCAAAATCTTCAGTGACTCCCTGATTGATTAGATGCTAGAATGTGGATCACAATCCAGCACAACCGCAACGCCACACTGCTGTTATTATAACACTCTGATTCTGATAAAATAGCAAGGCTGAGTGAAAGCTCACTGTCAACCGAACAAACCCATGTTTATTATTTTCTTCTTCGATGCTTATTATAGTAATCTGTCAGCACTAAAATACCTTTGTAAGGTAAACAGTTCTGCCCATTAACTGCAGAACTGGCTCCTTCGCCAGTTAATCAACAGGATCTGTAAAACTTCTGTTCAGTTGAACTCTTTAAGCTCCAGCATGTCCGTGGGGAGATGATCATCCTATGAATAGCAATCTTTTGGTCAGGTAACAGGAAGCTCTTTTTGGGCAAGGACAAACAGGCCAACTGAACTAATTTGGCTCTTGGGTGAGACTTCTGCCAGTCTCCTCCTGAGAAGCAATGGGATTGTTGTTTCACGGGATGCCAGCGTGCCAACGACCATGCCCAGTTGTGTAAACATTGATCACCTCAAAGAGCAAGATCCTTGTGTACCTGGAGACTCAATCTAGATCTGCTGCTTAGTCATGCATGGTTTTGTCCCCAATGTTTGACGAAACGCGGCCATGGACGTGGCAACCTCAGTGGAAAACTCGTGCCCTGCATATGTGCTTGTTTTCCTTGTGGAGCAGAAAGCAGTTTGGTGTGGCATCTGCATGCAATTTTTAATGGGGGAAATGGGGTAAGAGTCATGGAGATGGCCACATACCCTCTTCCCTTTGTGGTTTTGATTGAAACACGGCCGCATCTCAGGATCTTTATCTGAACTTACGACAAGATAAAACATGCAACAATTTTCTTACTAAATCACTATCTTCAAAAAGGAAAGTGCAAGCTTGACAAATCATAGTTCTGTATCCATGTAGAAGTGGAGGTTTGCAGTTGTCAAATAGGATTAAATATAGGATTTTGTTCATCTATGATACCAAGGAATAGTTAAGGATTTTTCAAACTAGGGTTCGTAACTAGTAGGCAAGCCAAAACTGGAAACCAATTTGGACTGTGTTTGTAAACCACAGTTTATTCTAACTGTAGATTGAAATAATATTAGCAGGGATGAGTGACAGAGCCTTTTCAGTGGTGGTCCTGCATCTCAGGAATTCCCTCCCTTTACATATGTGTATGACTGCATCTAACTCTGTTTATCTTGAGATGCTTTATCTTAAATTGTTTTTAATTTTCTCATCATCTATAATGATGTTGTCATACAATCAGAGTTGGAAGAGACCTCATGGGCCATCCAATCTAACCCCCTGCCAAGAAGCAGGAAAATTGCCTTCAAAGCACCCCATCCAGCCTCCGTTTAAAAACCTCCAAAGAAGGAGCCTCCACCACACTCCAGGGCAGAGAGTTCCACTGCTGAACAGCTCTCAAAGTCAGGAATTGCTTCCTCATGCTCAGGTGGAATCTCGTTTCCTGTGGTTTGAAGCCACTGTTCTGTGTCCTAGTCTCCAGGGCAGCAGAAAACAAGCCTGCTGCCTCCTCTGTATGGCCTCCCCTCCCATATTTATACATGGCCCTCATGTTTCCTCTCAGTCTTCCCTTCTACAGGCTAAACATGCCCAGCCTTTTAAGCCACTCCTCATAGGGTTTGTTCTCCAGGACCTTGATCGTTTTAGTCACCCTCCCCTGGACCCAATCCAGCTTAGAGTCAACATCACCCTTAAGTTGTGGTGTCCAGAATTGGACATAGTGTGATTCCAGGTATGGTCTGATCGAGGCAGAACAGAGGGGTAACATGACTTCCCTGGATCCAGACAATAGACACTATCTTCCTATTTATGCGGGCCAAAATCCAATTAGCTTTTTTAGCTGCCGCATCACATTGTTGGGGCCTGCTGGCGGTGCAACAAGTTAAATCACTGTGGTGCTAAACTTGCTGACCAAAAGTTTGACAGTTTGAATCCGGGGAGCAGGGTGAGCTTCCATTGTTAGCCCCAGCTTCTGCCAACCTAGCAGTTCAAAAACATGCAAATGTGAGTAGATCAAGAGATACGACTTCTGCAGGAAGGTAATGGTGCTCCATGCAGTCATGCTGGCCACAAGACTTTGGAAGTGTCTATGGACAATGTCGGCTCTTCAGCTTAGAAATGGAAATGAGCACCACTCCCCAGAGTTGGACACAACTAAACTTAATGTTTATACCACAGTGAGTCGCCCTTGGGCTGAGAATTGCGGTATATAAGCGCAGTAAATAAATAAATAATAAATGTCAGGGGAAACCTTTACCTTTACTTTTATCACATTGTTGGCACATGTTTAATTTGTTGTCCACGAGGACTCCAAGATCTTTTTCACATGTACTTCTGTTGAGCCAGGCGTCCCCCACTCTGTAGCTTTGCATTTCTTTTTTTATGTCTAAGTGGAGTTTCTTGTTATCTCCAACTTGAATATTGATTTGTACTGCTGTTCTAAAGGGTTTTTTAAAACCTGAAAATTTGGAGTTATTTCTCATAAACCAGATTGTGAGAACTTTGCTTTTATAGGCACCTTAGAAATATTTTAAGTAAATAAATGTTTGAATGGGCAGCCCAGGCTTAAGGTTATGATTGCTCTATCTTCATAGGCGGCTTGCTGCACCAGTAGAAGCTTAAATGTGAACTTAAGAAGCCAAGACCTGAAAGAAGAAAACTGGAAACGCGCACTCTGCTATATCTTACTTGTCATATTCTTGGATGAGCACATGAGAAGCCTCCCATTGCCGGTAAATATTTTAAGCCTTCCTCTGTTTGTACGGATGTGATTTAACTGGAGCCTGGAATTGGGTACACTTCTTTAAATTCATAAATTACAAATACTAAAATAAAACAAACACAATTCAAACAAGCACCACAGAGAAAACAATCACTTGCTTATTTCTTAAATACTTGTACAAATAGAGCACTCTTTTACCTGGAACCCAATGGACAAAAGTGGAGGATAACTGAACCTCTGACAGAAGGAAGCTTCACAATTAAAATCCCACCACTAAGAAATCATAGCCATATATAGTTATACTTTCAGTTACATTATTCCAGGAAACGGCAAATAGAGTTGCAATGCTGGGCATTTTGGTAGTAAATGTACTCATTTAAGTGCCTGGGTCTTGAACTGTTGGAGGTTTATATGCCAGTGCTATCACCAAAAGGTAGTGTAGTGATTTGAAACCCTGAGTTAAAATCTCTGCTTAGCCATGGAAACCTATTACATGACCTTGGGCAAGTCACACTCTGTCGGTTTCAGAGGGAGGCAATGGAAAATCCCCTCTAACAAATTCTAACAAGGTCACCTTACAGCAATGTTTCTCATCCTTCTTAATGCCGCGACCCCTTAATACAGTTCCTCATGTTGTGGTGACAACCAACCACAAAATGATTTTTGTTGCTACTTCATAATTGGAATTTTGCAACTGTTATGAATCGTAAGGTAAATATCTGATTTGCAGGATGTATTTTCATTCACTGGACCAAATTGGGCACACATACCCAATATGCCCAAATTTGAATACTGATGGGATTGGAGGGGTGGGTGGGGTTAATTTATTTTGTCATTTGGGAGTTGTAGTTGCTGGGATTTATAGTTCTTCTATAATCAAAGAGAATTCTGAACTCCATCAACGATGGAATTCAACCAATTTTGGCTCACAGAACTCCCATGACCAACAGAATATACGGGAAGGGATTGGTGGGAGTTGAGTTTGGAGTTGTAGTTCACCTACATCCAGAGAGCACTGTGGAGTCAAACAGTGATAGAACAGAACCAAACTTGGCACGAATACTCAATATGACAAAATGTGAACACTGATGAAGAAAATAGACCTTGACATTTGGGAGTTGTAATTGCTGGGATTTCTAGTTCACCTACAACCAAAGAGCATTCTGAACCCTGCCAATGATAGATTTGGGCCAAACTTCCCACACAGAACCCCCTGCCTTGAAGGGACTCACTGGTGCAAGCCTCCCCCCAGCCTTGCATGCTCTCCCTTGTCCGCACATGTGCGCCATGCGCCAAACACGCCTGCTCTCCCCTCCTCATTTGGAGTCTCAGAAACAGCCCTCTCCTTGGCTGAGAGGGTGGCGAATCACAGCAGAGGACGGCTTTTGGTGGAAGGATTCTCTGTCTGTTTCCAAAAAAGGAAAAGAAGGACAGGAAGAGAGATCTTCAGCCTTTTCTGCCAAGGAAGTTCCTAAGTCAATCAGAAATATATGTTTTCTGATGGTCTTGGGTGACCCCTCTGAAACCCCTTCACAACCCCCAGGGATCCCGACCCCCAGGTTGAGAAACGCTGCCTTAGAGTCTCCATAAGTAGAAAATGACCTGAAGACACAGCAACAGCACAAAGTAATACTCAAATTGCTCTGGTTGTTCACTGGCAACAGTTATCAGTTGGTTACCTATGAAAGAGCAAGTTCAGTATCTGTTAAGAGAGAAGGAAAACCAAATGTTTCCTGGGAACTTTGTAGAGGGGACAAAATGATAAGTCACCTGGAAAAAGAGCCCACAAATAAACCTCGTCTTGCTTCATATTTGATTGTACAATATATGTTACATGCGTAGTCTGCAGACGTAAAGATATCAATGCCTCTTTCGAAGTCACAAAAGATTATGGCTGGCAAACAAAGCCTCGGAGCCTTTGTGGAAAGACATCTGGCCTTGCCTGATAGGAAGGCACAAGTTGTCCTATGACCACTCTGCCCCTTTCCTGAACTCTTTCTTTCCCCCTTGAGTTGGCACTAGTTGCTTTTGTTTCCTATCTGACCTTGGGCACTCTTCTCCTGCAGAGGTTACCCTGGCCTCAAGCCTTCATTGTTGGAAAATAATGAGAGCCTGGCATTGGCACTGACAAAAAGGGGTGGGCAGAGAACAAAAGATTACCATGAGCATGAAGCTGGGCATGTCGGTTGGTAGTGCCTTTCAGTCTCCCACTGGAGTTGCCGTGACTCTCTTCAACAGTTCTTTTAATAGGGACATAGTGTGGGCAACTTTGGGTGGTAATCCAGCGGGCAAAAAGAAGCAGGAAATAATGGAAGTTATTATGTAGGTCTGCATTTCTAAGAGCTGGGGAAAACCTGTTTCGAAATACAGTTCCCAAAATCGCCTGGTTGAAGTAACAGCAGCTGCCTGCTGGATTGTAGGAGTCACCATTCAAAAATATCTTAATAGCCTTTGCCAGTTCTGTAACAGATGGTAACTAACACAATGAATAATCACAATTTAAATCAGACATTGAGTTGTGGGAGAAAGAGAGGGAGAAAAAGATAAATAATGCTGGAAAAATTGGAGATTGTTAGGGGAAAACGTGGGACTCTTTAAGGAACAGACCACACACCTCCAACCTGTTTTTGCAGTTTCTAAATCCTATTACTCCCAAGAGAAAAATTGCAGGAGGGAAGCTGGGTATCAAAACAAGAGAATTGTTACCATATATACTCGTTGTGTACCTTTAAGTCATTTCAGACTTAGGGTGACCCTAAGTCAAAAGTTTAAGTCTGGGGGCCTGAGAAAACCCATTGATAACCTTCTGGTTGCCATAAGTTGAAAATAACTTGAAGACACACAAAAACAAGAAGCAATTCAGTCTACTTATAGAATAACCAGATAGATAAATGTTTCTCAACATGGGGGTCAGGACCCCTGGGGGGGGTCATGAGGGGGTGTCAGGGGGGTCACCAAAGACCATCAAAAAAACACAGTATTTTTATTATTATTTACTTCCTATTTATTAGAGCACATGAAATGAATGGCAATAAAAATTAAACAGGATGAGAGATCTGGCTTCCTTCTCCTTATCTTCCACACCCAAATGTTTGATTCCAAGTATCATACAATTCCAAATTTTTGGATGACACACTGGGGCGCATGGTTTTTAAAGCACTGTCAAAGTCTTCAAAAGTAATGGATCGTCCTTGCTCTGTTTTAATCATTGTAATGTCAACAGACTGAAGACTGTGGATGGGGCCTAGTGAAGCCTCTCGACAAAGCTGAGTCATGTCGGCCCCAGAAAACCCCTCTGATTTTTTAACAATGAGATCTACTTCTTCATCCATTAGGGAGCAGTGTTCCTTTGACATCAGACAAAGCATAATCTGCTTTCTTGCAGTATTTTTTTGTTGGGTATGGGGGTTCTGTGTGGAAAGTTTGGCCCAATTGTATCATTGATGGGGTTCAGAATGCTCTTTGGTTGTAGATGAACTATAAATCCCAGGAACTACAGCTCCCAAATGTCGTCTATTTCTCCAAACTCCACCAGTGTTCACATTTGGGCATATTGAATATTTGTGCAAAGTTTGGTCCAGATTCATCATTGTTTGAGTCCACAGTCCTCTCTAGATGTAGGTGAACTACAACTCCAAAACTCAAGGTCAATGCCCACCAAACCCTTCCAGTATTTTCTGTTGGTCATGGGAGTTCTGTGTGCCAAGTTTGGTTCAATTCCATCGTTGGTGGAGTTCAGAATGCTCTTTGATTGTAGGTGAACTATAAATCCCAGGAACTATAACTCCAAAATGACAAAATCAATCCCCCTCCAACCCACCAATATTCAAATTTGGGCGGATTGGGTATTTGCACCAAATTTGGTCCAGTGAATGAAAATACATCCTGCATTTCAGATATTTACATTACGATTCATAACAGTAGCAAAATTACAGTTATGAAGTAGCAATGAAAACTAATTTAGGGTTGGGAGTCACCATAACATGAAGAACTGTATTAAGGGGTCGCGGCATTAGGAAGGTTGAGTACCACCGAGGTAGATGAACTATCTTTCACTTTTACGTTTCTGATCTTTATAGCTTCTGAAAAGCAAACAGGAATATTTTTGGAGAGTTGTAAAGGTCTGGTGAGGACAAAATTGAGCACTTTGGGGGAATAGTTTAATTTACTACAGCTACCACAGGCTTTCCCTAAATTACCCTGAGACATCCAGAGAATTTTTTATTCTTGAGCAACAACTTTTCTTTCCCAGCCATGAACAACCATCCTGTTTGTTCAGCGGAAAAACAAAGTTGCAAATGACTGCAACCAGAATGTGCAAAGCAGCTAAATGAAGTGCATTCATATCCCTTTAAATAATTACTTGGCCCAAACTTAGGTCTAGAAGGATACCCAATTTGAGATCATTTGAACCCCCCTGGCAGCAATAGTCAGAAGATGCCCAAACAAGTGTTTGAATGGCACACTGTGCTCAGGTATTTTTGGCACAGAAAAGCTGCTGCACCCAGTTTGTGGTTATCAATAATTCTCGTTAATCTTCTGGAAAACGGGTGGGAAGCAGGCTAGGAACTTCTGGAAAACAGAAAGGCAGGCTAGATTTCCTTCCATCTCTTTGTCTATTATATTCCTTTACCAACACTGGCCGCTTTTCTGTCAACAAAATTATATCCCAAAGTATCTCATTGTAGTTAAATTTCAATATCCCAGCCTTTCCAGTGCTGGCACCTTCCAGGCATGGATTATAAGTCCTTTCTTTCAGCATTAGCTGGAGTCGTACTGTTTTTCCCCGTCGCTTTAGTTTTTCCTCAGTATGTATACAACATCCCAGTGATTCTTTTCTTTTGGCAATGGACATCATGGAGAAAAGTTACTTTTTAAAGACCACGACCAAAGGGTATTTTTTCAAAGCTTTATGCTGATATACAGTTTGGTTGGTAAGAGAAAGGGGGTTGCCAGTTTAATTCGCCTCTCCACCAGACCCTGGAGGCAGGCCCATAGCTGGGGGGGGGGGGGGCTTGAGGGGCTTCACCCCCCCTCCCCATAATTCTCAGGATGGTCTGTGAGAAGGCCTTACTGGTACATTATTCAAACTGTTATGTTTATTCATATCATGATCTGATTATCATGTTCAATATATCCCATAGGCATGGGGATATTGGGGTAAAAATACAAAAGGTTTGCTAGGGTAGATTCTGAGCCCCCCCCCCAAATCAAACTCACCCCCCCCCCAATCAAACTTAGTTATTGGGAGTTATAGTTCACATTCTGAACCCCACCAACAATAGAATAGGGCCAAACTTCCCACACAGATCCCCTTGCCTTGAAGGGACTCACTGGTGTGAGCCTCCCTCCAGCCTTGCATGCTCTCCCTCACCCATACATGCGCGCCATGTGCTGAACATACCTGCTCTCCCCTCCTCGTTTGGAGTCTCAGAAACAGCCCTCTCCTTGGCTGAGAGGGTGGCGAATCACATCAGAGAACGGCTTTTGGTAGAAGGATTCACTGTCTGTTTCCAAAAAGAGAAGGACAGGCAGAGAGATCTTCAGCCTTTTCTGCCAAGGAAGTTCCTAAGACCATCAGAAATATATGTTTTCTTATGGTCTTGGGTGACCCCTCTGAAACCACTTCACAATCCACAGGGGTCCCGACCCCCAGGTTGAGAAATGCTGCCTTAGAGTCTCCATAAGTAGAAAATGACCTGAAGATACACAACAACAACAACAACAACAACAACAAAGTAGTGCTCAAATTGCTCTGGTTGTTCACAAAATTTTATTATTGGAGAAGGAGAAAGTGAAGAAGATGCAGGGAAATGATGGTAGATTTGGACAAATTCCCATTTTTTCTGAAACTATGGTTTGGAGGCTCGGAAAGGTTATATCCAAACTGATTTGACTCTTCAGCATCTTTTGTTTTTATATCTCTTGCTCATTTGTCATTTCTGTCAATCTCTTTTGATTTTCCAGGCTGGAAACGTTTTGCTTTGGAGAGCAACCAACAAGCTTGGCTATGTGCCTGTCTCAATACACACATTGATGGGACACTATTTTAGCTCTAGCTTCTGTCTGTGTGATTCTGAATGTGTGAGTTTGTAATATTCAAATGTGATCAAATTCAGCAACCTGTCTGTGTCTGAAGACAGGCAAGAGCAAGTACTCCTTTTTGAGTTGGTAATTTAACAGCATTGCCTGTAATACAGGAGATAAAGAGGAAGTAATACCATACTCCCACTAAAGTTAACACTAAAAGCCTGACTTTTTAAAAAGTCATTTGGAAATTTTATATTTAAATGAATTTTTATTAAAACCATTTTGAAAAGCAGTAGAAGAAGGCACGGTGTTGGGATTTTAAAATAACATTCCAAATCTGTGATTAATGAACAAGAAGCATATGAATTTTCAGCCACGCAATTTCCATTTTCTAGAACTACATCTCATAAGGCTGTGTACTAGAACAGGCGGTTGTATCTGCATTGTGTGGATTTGGGTACACACTTCCAAATCACAAGTTTGAAAGTGTGTGAATGTGCAAACATTGTAGGATCTAGACGTGTGCACTGTGTGTGTGTTGAATATCCCCACCACAATGGAGAAGTCCAAAGCAGACTTAGAATCGGATGTTATCCCCGATGTCGAATCAAATCAAGATCTGCTCTATGAGGAATCCACTGCCCGGCCTGCCTGGGGATCAAAGATCCAATATATCCTTGCCCAGGTTGGCTTTTCTGTTGGACTCGGCAACGTCTGGCGGTTTCCCTACCTCTGTCATCAAAATGGAGGAGGTGAGTTAATAAAGCAGTTCTGAGAAATTTAAGATTGGGGTAGAATAAGGCCCCATCTACATTGCATTATTGGTTGATACTGCATTATATGGTCTGTGTAGAGTCATATAATGTATTATCTATTATTTATTTATGACATTTATATCCTGCCCTTCTCAACGAAGGGGACTCAAGGGGACCATACAAAGGCAACAATTCAATGCCATATATTAATACATCAGTAAATAAACAAAAATGTTAAAACGGAACCCATTAAAAACATAGTATTAAAACATAAATTAAACTCACATGATCCAAATAGTATCCCAGGGCCAGTCCGAGTCGTCATTACATTAATTTGTAGTCTCATATTATACTACTCCCGTTACTGGCCAAAAGCCTGATCCCAAGGTCATGTTTTCAGTTTTTTCCTGAAGGTCAGGAGGGATGGGGCAGATCTAATTTCACCCGGGAGGGAATTCCAGGGGCAAAGGGCCACCACTGAGAAGGCCCCTGTCTCTCATCCCTACCAGTCGCCAGTGGGACCAAAAGCAGGGCCTCCCCCAACAATCTTAACCTCCGAGGTGGGTCATAGAGGGAGATATGTTTGGACAGGTAAGCTGGGCTGGAACTGTTTAGGGCTTTATAGGCTCAAGCCAACACTTTGAATTGTACTTGGTAGCAGACTGGCAGCCAGTGGAGCTGGCGTAACAGAGGAGCAATCTGGTGAGCAATCTGACTGCTGCCCATTGGACCATTTGAAGCTTCCCAACAGTCTTCAAAGCAATCCCACATAGAGCCCGTTGCGGTAATCTATTCTCGATGTAACAAGACCATGGACCACTGTGGCCTCTGCAGTCAAACTGCATTATAGGATATTTTTTTGTCGTGTCAGGAGAGACTTGAGAATCTGCAAGTCACTTCTGGTGTGAGAGAATTGGCCATCTGCAAGGACATTGCTCAGAGGATGCCCGGATGATTTGATGTTTTATTATCCTTGTGGGAGGCTTCTCTCATGTCCCCGCATGAGGAGCTGGAGCTGATAGAGGGAGCTCATCCGCCTCTCCCCGGATTCGAACCTGCGACCTGTCGGTTTTCAGTCCTGCCGGCACAGGGGTTTAACCCACTGTGCCACCGGGGGCTCTAGGAATTATAGGAATGAATCTATACCAACCATATAGTGTAGATTCAAGCAGCATTATATGGCAGTGTAGATGGGGCCTAAGACTGAGTCAATGTGATTTGAGCATTAGAGTAAGGGTGTATCTCCACTGTAGAATAAATGCAGTTTTATACCACTTTAACTGCCATGGCTCAATCAATGCTAGGAAATCATGGGAAGTGATAGTTTTTAAAATTCTTCGGCTTTCTCTGCCAAAGAGTGCTGGTGCCTCATTGTTGTTGTTGTTGTTGTTGTTGTTGTTGTTGTTATTATTATGTTTATTTATATTCCACTTTTTCTCTCCACAAAGGAGACTCATAATACATTTCAAACCCCATGATACCATAGTATTTAACCATGGCAGATAATGTGGTGTTAAACTGCATTCATTCTACAGTGTAGTTGCACTCCGAGACTGTAAGAGACCAGGTTTCGAATCCCCATTCAATCTCCACCTTACAGAAAGGCAATGGCAAACCCCCTTTGAACAAATTTTGCTTTTAAAAAACCTGTCTTAGGGCCACCATATGTCAGAATTATTTTTACTGTGAAACCCAGTTAGATCCCCACCTTTTTCCTTTCCAAGAAGACACCTTGAGCTTGCAATTATTTCTGAACTCTATTTGCCACCTTTTCATTATACTGGGCTTTTAAAGGGGTTAATTTTCCTACTTAATGCTAAAAAAAAGCAGAAAGTGAATGAAAACCAACCCTGAAACAGACCAAGTCCCACGCCCACTCTTGCTTACAGGCAATCTGTCGTCACCTTTAAATGTATCACTGGTGAAAGATAAGGGCTGGTAAGGCTTGTTTGTCAGGAGTCTGTAACCTCTGAAATGAATGGCAAGGGGGATGCTGCAGCTTGTGGTTTTTTCTCTTCCTGAACACAGGTGCATTTCTGCTGCTTTATCTGATGCTCCTCTTAATCATCGGGATCCCGCTTTTCTTCCTGGAGTTGGCAGCAGGGCAAAGTATCCGACAGGGCAGCATTGGGGTCTGGAAGTACATCAGCCCCCGCCTGATGGGCATTGGCTTTGCAAGCTGTGTGGTGAGCATCTTGGAGAAGCACATTCAGACATGCCTTTGTATTTTGTTCATATATTTGTGTTCTTTTCAAAAATTGAATTTGAAACAGCATCTGCTTTTTTTCTGTGTCAGAAGCGATGAGAAACTACAAGTCGCTTCTGTTGTGAGAGAATTCGCAGTCTGCAAGGACATTTCCCAGGAGATGTTTGGATGTTTTACCATCCTGTAGGAGGCTTCTCTCATGTCCCCGCATGAGAAGCTGGAGCTGAGACGGGAACTCACCCCACTCCCCAGATTCGAACTGCCAACCTTTCGGTCAGCAGTCCTGCCGGCACAAGGGTTTTAACTCATTGCGCCACTGGGGGCTCCTACAGCATCTGCTGAAAGTTGACCATAGCATCATGGTTGAGGACTTAGAGATACTTGGAAGTTGACTAAGAATTGCAATCTTCCAGTGTGATTCTATGGTCAACTTTCAGCAGAAGTTCACCATATAGAGTCATGCTGGTGAACCTAAAGATTCTTACTACTTCATCACACTAGAGAATGAATTCACTTTAAATCTGGTTTCTGCAGGAGGCAGAAACTGGATTTAAAGTGGATTCATTCTCGTGTGTGATGAGGGCCTGAGATATTCTCTCTGGTGAAAGAATAAACTTTTTATTGTCGAAGGCTTTCATGGCCTTCGACAATATAAAACTTTTTTATATTTGCTATTTTTCACTTTTGGTGAGTCCTGTGCCCTAACTCCAGCAAATGTAGACGGCTGTAGTAGGTCCAGTGTGTTTATAATAAGTAAAAGGATTTTTATAGTGTTCGTGCATTGGGGTCTTCTTGCAGTTTGTCAGCGTCTATCAGGCACTCTGCAGGGTTTGGACAGAACCTGGCAAAGTTACTTTTTGGACTGCAGTTGCTAGAACTATCTTAGTCAGCATGGAAATAGTAGTCTAGAACATAATTTTTCCAAGAGCTGCAATATCACAATGTAGATTGCTATCCCATTATCCCATATTGACCATGAGAAGAGGATTCTGGAAACTATAGTTAACAAAAAAGTCTCTGAGCTTTGGCATTATAGAGAGCGGACAGACTTTGATTCTCCCCTTGCTGCCATACCATCTTCACCCCCAAAATTGGCTATGGTCATAATGTAGGTAAAGGTAAGGGTTTTCCCCTGACATTAAGTCTAGTCATATCCAACTCTGGGGTTAGTGCTCATCTCCATTTCTAAGCTAAAGAGCCAGCATTGTCCATAGAGGCTTCCAAGGTCATGTGGCTGGCATGACTGCATGGAGCACTGTTACCTTCCTGCAAGAGCCATACCTATTGATCTATTCACATTTGCATGTTTTCGAACTGCTAGGTTGGCAGAAGCTGGGACTAACAGTGGGAACTCACCCCATTCCCCGGATTCGAACCATCAACCTTTTGGTCAGCAAGTTCAGCAGCTCAGCGGTTTAACCTGCTGTGCCAACAGGGGCTCCAGAATGTAGGGATCATAAAATAGCAGTTTTCAATAGTAAAGTGGTAGAGATGTTAGCCCTCTTGTGAATGCAAGTATCAACCCATTTTGGATTCCTGGGCCCCCATATCTTTCGTAAACAAAAGGGATTGAAGAATGTTTTCACTTTGGGGGTTGAATAATACCGTAGTGCAAGCAGTGGAAAATATTCAGATTATTCCTCTTCTGACAAATCAGATAATTATCCATAGAACAAATTCTATGTGAATTATTGGGATTGTTATGGAGATAATCCAAAGCGACATTGGTAAAGTGATTGTATGGGGCGGGGCAATGGATCCAGGACTGTGGTCAGTATGATCATTTGCCATAAAAACTAATGAATTATAATAATTTTAGGCTGAATCTACACTGCCATATAATGCAGTTCCAGAATGCAGTTTAACTGTATTGAACTGGTTTATATGACAGTGTAGACACAGTTAAACTGCATTCTGAAATTGCATTATATGACAGTGTAGATTCAGCCTAAAATTCTTATAATGGCCTCAGTCTCTCCCAATAAAAACCCTTTTCCAAGCTTTGTGCCAGAAAGGTCATCCTTAGTTACACAAGCACTTTCATCACACTAGAGAAAAATCCACTTAAAATCCAGTTTCTGCCTCCTGCAGAATTCTGGGGTTTGTCGTTTAGAGAGGCTACTAAAGGCTCCTCCAAAAACTACAAACCCAGAATTCTGCGGGAGGCAGAAACCAGATTTTAAGTGGATTTTTTTCTCTAGTATGATGAGGCTACGGGATTGCAGCAAAGTATCAGTTAATCGTGATGTCTAAACATAGCCAAACTTTATTTCGCTGTCTCTCTACATCAGTATCTAGTGAGAATGTCGAGAAGCTGATTTCTTTCTTGTTCCCTTTAGGTTTGTTCCTTTGTTGCCCTCTATTACAATGTCATTATTGCATGGAGTCTTTTCTACTTGGGTAACTCCTTCCAGTCTCCGTTACCTTGGAACGACTGCCCAGGAACAGTGAACCAAACCATCTCAGGTAACTGAAAATTCACAGGCTGGTGGGTGGACACTCTAAGGATACCTTTGCAGCACATACTTAAATGGCTTGTTTGTTTGTTTATTAGTAGAAACAGAATGTGAGGCCAGTTCTGCCACTGTCTACTTTTGGTACCGTAAGGCTTTGCATGTGTCCGATTCCATTGAGGAGAGTGGCGGTCTCGATCCAGCGCTTACCGGCTGCCTTTTTGCCGCTTGGGCTCTGGTGTGTCTGGCAATGATTAAAGGCATCAAATCCTCTGGCAAGGTCAGTCTTTCATACACTTTTTTCCATTTTAGGCTCAGCATCTGGACCATAGCCATGGGTCAGTAGGGCATCCAGACCCACTTCCTACATTGTCACTATCTGATTTTAGAAGAACATCAAGTATATTTTCCTTTTAGCACTAGAGTTGTTATTTAGATTCTGCAGGAATTATTCTGCAGGAAAAGCTCTACATATTGTATAATACTGCAAAATGACAATAAAGTAGAGTCTCGCTTATCCAACCTTCGCTCATCCAACATTCTGTATTATCCAACGCAGTCTGCCTCCCACCCAGATCTACAACTGTTTCAATACATTGAGATGTTTTGATGCTAAATTAATAAATACAGTAATTACTACATAATGTTACTGTGTACTGAACTTCTTTTTCTGTCAATTTGTTGTAAAATAATAATAATAATAATAATAATAATAATAATAATAATAATACTTTATTTATACCCCGCCACCATCTCCCCAAGGGGACTCGGGGTGGCTTAATTTTTAATGATGTTTTGGTGCTTAATTTATAAAATCATAACATAATTTAATGTTTAATGCTTAATAGGCTTTCCCTTAATCCTTCCTTGTTATCCAACCTTTTCACTTATCCAACATTCTGCTAACCCATTTAAGCAAGATAAGCAAGACTCTACTGTATATGGGTCCAATAGTATATTAAACTGAAAACTCTCTACATGCCAAAATGAAGGTTATTATAGTTTGGACGTATCATGGGACTGCTTTGCAAATGAAGTGACACTAGAGAATGAATCCACTTTAAATCTGGTTTCTGCCTCCTGCAGAATTCTGGGGTTTGTAGTTTAGTGAGGCTGTTAAAGGCTCCTCCCTAAACTACAAACCCTAGAATTCTGCAGGAGGCAGAAACCAGATTTAAAGTGAATTCATTCTCTAGTGTGATGAGGTCCAAAGAATTCATAGCTCTGCTTTTTCAAGACATGATCAGGGCTGTGCTTGATGAAGGCTCATTGAGATCTTTCATTTGTAGGTTTCCAAAAGTCAAGGCCAACTTGATGCAAATAGTAACAACGAAGCATACAGGACTGCAGATTAAATAATTCCAAATACATTGGTCCTGGCCATTCTTTGTTGACCGTATCCTAATATGGAACACTTCTGGCCCCAAGCATTTCTGATAAGCTATATTCAACCTGTATTTAATTTAGGAAGACAAACAAGCACAAGTAAAGGGAGGCTTGGCAAAAATAAACTTCTGTTCCTCCTACTGTTTACCTATGAGTAAAAATACCTACTTGATACTATGATTGATCTCTTTTCAATTTGCCATCAAGCAAAGAATAACAATAATAATAACAATAACAATAATAATAATAATAATAATAAATGTCTATACTGCCCTATCTCCCAAAAGGGACTCAGGGCAGTGTTTATTCAGGCAGGCTTTTGACTCATTATATATGTAGCAGAAATAATTTTAATGAGGCTGTGTGTTTATCTTATTTACTATGAGTTGTTTGTTTTTCACGTTACTTTAATATTTTATTTTTTAACTGAACTATTCTTTAATTTTTTTAACTTTGGTAGAAATATTGTTTAACGTTTTCAATGTTTAAATGCTTGCAAACTGTCTTATTCAATGTTTAAATGCTTGCAAACAGAATAGTAAACAAACAAATAAGATTGGATCTTCCCTTTTTCTTTTTGAGATGTGGATTTTAAGCTGCCTCCTAAGACATTTTACTAAATTAAGTATTATCAATTTTTAAAATGTCCAGTCAAATGACAGGTTTTCACACAGAGTCTGTAGAAAGCGCACTAGCGTTCAAAAGTCTTGCACCAATGGATTCTGTTAGTAGCTATCTTTTCCTGGGTTGCTATGAGTTTTCTGGGCTGTATGGCCATGTTCCAGAAGCATCCTCTCTCCTGCCCTTTTGCCCACATCTATGGCATCCTCAGAGATTGTGAGGTCTATTGGAAACTAGGCAAGTATCTCTTCCTGATTTTTTTTCTCTTTTCCTCCATCCCAGGTGCTGTATTTCAGCTCTCTGTTCCCTTATGTGGTTCTCTTTTGCTTCCTGGTCCGTGCGTTGCTGTTAGAAGGGGCTGCTGATGGGATCCGGATCATGTTTACACCCGATGTAAGAGGCCATAGCTCCATGTAGGCTTAACCAAAGGTTGAAATGGTTAATTTTTTGGACTTCCAACAACTGGAATCCCTCAGTCAGCATAGTTGTTGGGAGTCCCTAGCATTTGGAACTGTTTGTTAAAAAAAGTAACTGTTACAGACGCAGGACATAGCATTTTTATCGCTGGTTCTCTCTTCCACTACTGCACGGATATTCCACCTTTTAGCACCTACCATGTCATGTTATTTCCCTTGTTTACTAGGTTCTCTGGTACAAGAGATATTTAAGCAGTTAAAATTCATGAAAACAATGCAATCAAAATGATTTAAAGTAATTCATTAAAGCAGTAGAAAAATAAACTGAATCCCTGTTGGCTAGGCTGGCTAGAGAGGATGAGAACTGAGAATTCAACAATACCTAGAAGACCATGCCTTCACAACTCTCTAGAGCAGTGTTTCTCAACCTTCCTAATGCTGCAACACCTTAATATAGTTCCTCATGTTGTGGCGACCCCCAAACATAAAATTATTTTTGCTGCTACTTCATAACTGTAATTTTGCTACTGTTATGAATCGTAATGTCAATATCTGATATGCAAGACGTATTTTCATTCACTAGACCAAATTTGGCACATATACCTGATACGCCCAAATTTGAATATGGTGGGGTTGGGGGGATTGATTTTGTCACTTGGGAGTCAAAGTTGCTGGGATTTATAGTTCACCTACAATCAAAGAGCATTCTGAACTCCACCAGTGGTGGAATTGAATCTTGGCACATAGAACTCCTGCGACCAACAGAAAATACTAGATGGGTTTGGTGGCCATTGACATTGAGTTTGGGAGTTGTAATTCACCTACATCCAGAGAGCACTGTAGACTCAAACAATGATAGATCTGGACCAAGCTTGGCACAAATACTCAATATGCCCACTGGTGGAGTTTTAGAAAAATTGAGTTGGAAATTGGGGAGTTGTAGTTGCTGGGATTTATGTTGTTGTTGTTCATTCGTTCAGTCGTCTCCGACTCTGTGACCTCATGGACCAGCCCAGGCCAGAGCTCCCTGTTGGCCGTCACCACCCCCAGCTCGTTAATGTTCACGCCAGTCACTTCAAGGAGGCCATCCATCCATCTTGCCCTTGGTCGGCCCCTCTTCCTTTTTCCTTCCACTTTCCCCAGCATAATTGTCTTCTCTAGACTTTCCTGTCTCCTCATGATGTGGCCAAAGTACTTCAACTTTGTCTCTAGTATCCTTCCCTCCAGTGAGCAGTCGGGCTTTATTTCCTGGAGGATGGACTGGTTGGATCTTCTCGCAGTCCAAGGCACTCTCGGAACTTTCCTCCAACACCACAGATCAAAAGCATCGATCTTCCTTCGCTCAGCCTTCCCTAAGGTCCAGCTCTCACATCCGTAGGTTACTACAGGGAATACCATGGCTTTGACTATGGCGGATCTTTGTTGCCAGTGTGATGTCTCTACTCTTTACTATTTTATCGAGATTGGACATTGCTCTCTTCCCAAGAAGTAAGCGTCTTCTGATTTCCTGGCCACAGTCTGCATCTGCAGTAATCTTTGCACCTAGAAATACAAAGTCTGTCACGGCCTCCACAGTTTCTCCCTCTATTTTCTTGTTGCCATAATCTTGGTTTTTTTGACGTTTAGCTGCAACCCGGCTTTTGCACTTTCTTCTTTCACCTTGATTAGAAGGCTCCTCAGCTCCTCCTCGCTTTCGGCCATCAGAGTGGTGTCATCTGCATATCTGAGGTTGTTAATGTTTCTTCCAGCAATTTTCACCCCAGCTTTGCATTCATCCAGCCCCGCACATCGCATGATGTGTTCTGCATACAAGTTAAAAAGGTTGGGTGAGAGGATGCAGCCTTGCCATACACCTTTCCCAATCTTGAACCAGTCTGTTGTTCCGTGGTCAGTTCTGACTGTTGCTACTTGGTCCTTGTACAGATTCCTCAGGAGAGAGACAAGGTAGCTTGGTATGCCCATCCCACCAAGAACTTGCCACAATTTATTATGATCCATACAGTCAAAGGCTTTAGAATAGTCAATGAAGCAAGAAGTAGATGTTTTTCTGAAACTCCCTGCCTTTCTCCATTATCCAGCGGATATTGGCAATTGGTCTCTCGTTCCTCTGCCTTTTCTAAACCCAGCTTGAACATCTGGCAACTCTCGCTCCATGTATTGCTGGAGTCTTCCTTGCAGGATCTTGAGCATTACCTTACTGGCATGAGAAATAAGGGCCACTGTACGAAAGCTTGAGCAGTCTTTAGCATTTCCCTTTTTTGGTATGGTGATATAAGTTGATTTTTTCCAGTCTGATGGCCATTGTGTTTTCCATATTTGCTGGCATATGGCATGCATCACCTTGACAGCATCATCTTTTAAGATTTTAAACAGTTCAGCTGGGATCCCGTCGTCTCCTGCTGCCTTGTTGTTAGCAATGCTTCTTAAGGCCCATTCCACCTCACTCCTCAGGATGTCTGGTTCTAATTCACTCACCACACCATCAAAACTATCCTCGATATTATTATCCTTCCTATACAGATCTTCTGTATACTCTCACCACCTTCTCTTGATCTCTTCAGCTTCTGTTAGGTCCGTGTCATCTTTGTTTTTGACCATGCCCACTTTTGCCTGAAATTTAACCAGTGTTTCTAATTTTCTGGAAGAGGTCTCTTGTCCTTCCTATTCTGTTGTCTTCTTCCACTTCCATGCATTGCTTATTTAAAAATAGTTCCTTATCTCTTCTGGCTAACCTCTGGAATTGCGCATTTAACTGGGCATATCTCCCCTTATCCCTGTTTCCTTTTGCTTTCCTCCTTTCTTGGGCTACTTCCAGTGTCTCAGCAGACAACCATTTTGCCTTCTTGGTTTTCTTTTTCTTTGGGACGTACTTTGTTGCCGCCTCCTGAACAATGTCTCGGACTTCTGTCCATAGTTCTTCTGGGACTCTGTTTACTAAATCTAGTCCTTCAAATCTGTTCTTCACTTCCACTGTATATTCGCTAGGAATGTTAGTGAGATCATATCTAACTGGTCTGTGTATTTTCCCTGATCTCTTTAGTTTTATTCTAAATTGGTCAATAAGAAGTTCGTGATCTGAGCTACAGTCAGCCCCAGGTCTTGTTTTCACCGACTGGATGGATGTCCGCCACCTTTGGCTGCAAAGGATGTAGTCAATCTGATTTCGGTGTTGACCGTCTGGTGAGGTCCATGTGTAAAGCCGTCTTTTAGGTTGTTGGAAGAGAGTATTCATTATACACAGCGAGTTTTCCTGGCAAAATTCTATCAGCCTGCGTCCCGCTTCATTTTGTTCTCCCAGACCATGCTTGCCTGTGATCCCTGTTGTCATTTGACTTCCCACCTTGGCATTCCAGTCTCCTGTAATGAAAATAATGTCTCTTTTTGGTGTATTATCCAGTAGTTCCTGCAGATCCTCATAGAACTGATCTACTTCTGCTTCTTCAGCAGCTGTGGTTGGGGCGTATATTTGGATCACTGTAATGTTGAAAGGCTTTCCTTGCACTCGAATTGAGATCATTCTGTCATTTTTTGGGTTGTATCCAAGCACCGCTTTAGCGAAATTCTTATTAATTATGAAGGCTACTCCATTTCTTCGATGTTCCTCTTGTCCGCAGTAGTAGATCTGGTGGTCATCTGATGTGAAGTGGCCCATTCCAGTCCACTTCAGTTCGCTGAACCCCAGAATGTCTATCTTTAGTCTTGACATCTCGCCAATAACAACATCCAATTTGCCCTGGCTCATAGATCTTACATTCCAGGTTCCTATGGTGTGTTGATCTTTAGAGCATCGGATTCGTCGTTCACCTCCAGCACCGTCGGCCGCTAGCCTTCTTTTCGGCTTTGAGCTAGCTGCGTCATCACATCTGGGGCTAGTTGAACTTATCCTCTGCTCCTCCCCAGTAGCATTTTGGCCATCTTCCGACCTGGGAGTCCCATCTTCCAATGGCATACCGACATATCTCTGGTTGTACTGGTCCATTTAGTTTTCTTGGCAAGGATACTGGAGTGGTTTGCCATTGCCTTCCCCAGGGATCACGCTTGGTCTGACCTCTCTGCCACAACCGTCCCGTCTTGGGTGGCCCTTCACGGTTTCGCTCATGACATCATTGAGGTGCTCAAGCTCCAGCGCCCCGACAAGGCGGTGATCCTTTAGTTCACCTAAAATCAAGGAGCATTCTGAACCCCTCCAAACTTCCCACACAGAATCCCCACGCTTGAAGGCCCTTGCTGGCATGAGCCTCTCTCCAGCCTCACAAGCTTTCCCTCGGCCACACATGCGCACCATGCTGCTATGTGCTGAGCATGCCTGCTCTCTCCTTCCCACTTGGGAGTCTCAGAAACTGCCCTCCACTTGGCTGAGAGTCCGGCCAATCACAACAGAGGAGGGCTTTTAGTGGGAGGGTTCACTGTCTATTTCCAAAAAGGAAAAAAAGTACTGGTGGAGACATCTTCAGCCTTCTCTGCCAAAGGGATTCCTAAGATCATCAAAAATATGTGTTTTCTGGTGGTCTTTGGCAACCCCTCTGAAATCCCCTCATGACCCTCCCAGAGGTTCCAACCCCCAGGTTAAGAAATGCTGCTCTAGTGGGAGAAGAAACCATTATGGTGTCTAAAGTAAAGGGATCCAGTAGAAATTAGAACTAGTGTGATAGTATTGATAACTTCTGTTTCACTGTTAAATGGCTTAATCTTTTGTTTCCCTCCTTTCTCTTTCTGTACCCCCAAGTTGTCCATCTGGGGCGACATGCAGGTTTGGCGGCAGGCAGCCACCCAGGTGTTCTTTGCCCTGGGCCTGGGCTTTGGCACCATCATCGCTTATTCCAGCTATAACAAACAAGACAACAACTGCCACTTTGATGGGCTCCTTGTTGCTTTTGTCAACTTCCTTACTTCAGTCCTGGCTACACTGGTTGTGTTTGCTGTGCTGGGCTTCCGTGCCAACGTCATCACGCAGAACTGTGCTGAGAGGTCGGTAAACATCTTCATGTGGCTCTCCCCAAGCAATATTTCTGCTAACTATACACTGGGGGATTCTGGGAGTTGTAATCCCCAAAAGTAAGGTTTAATAGTGCTAAAACAGAATTTCTCAACCTGAGTGTTGGGACCCCTGAGGGGGTCGCAAGGAGGTTTTCGAGAGGTTGCCGAAGACCATCAGAAAACATATATTTTGGATGGTCTTAGGAACCCCTTTGGCAGAGAAGGCTGTAGATCTCTCGACTGTCCTTCTCTTCCTTTTTGGAAACAGACAGTGAATCCTCCCACCAAAAGCCCTCCTCCTCTGTGATTGGTCAGTCTTTCAGCCAGCCTCTCAGCTAAGGGGAGGACTGTTTCTGAGACTCCAAGTGGGGAGGGGAGAGCAAGCGTGCTTGGTACATAGCAGCGTGGTGCGCATGCATGGGCTAGCGAGAGCATGAGAGGTTGGAGGGAGGGTTGCACCAGCAGGTTCCCTCAAGGCATGGGGGTTCTGTGCAAGAAGTTTGGCCCAATTCTATCATTTGTAGGGTTCAGAATGCTCTTTGATTGTAGGTGAACTATAAATCCCAGCAACTACAACTCCCAAATGTCAAGGTCCATTTCCCACAAAAATTCACCAGTGTTCACATTTGGGCATATTGGGTATTTGTGCCAAGTTTGGTCCAGATCCATCATTGTCTGAATGCACAATGCTCTCTGGATGTAGGTAAATTACAACTCCAAACCTCAAGGTCAATGCCCAACAAACCCTACCAGTATTTTCTCTTGGTCATGGGAGTTCTGCGTGCCAAGTTTGGGTCAATTCTGTTGTTGGTGGAGTTTAGTCTGCTCTTTGATTGTAGGTTAACTATAAATCTAACTATAAATCTCAGCAACTACAACTCCCAAATGACAATCTCAGTCTCCCCACCAACTGCACCAGCATTCAAATTTGGGCGGATCGGGTATTTGCACCAAATTTGGTCCAGTGAATGAAAATACAACCTGCATATCAAATATTTACATTATGATTCATAACAGAAGCAAAATTACAGTTATGAGGTAGCAACGAAAATAATTTTATGGTTGGGGGTCACCACAACATGAGGAACTGTATTAAGGGATCACGGCATTGGGAAAGTTGAGAACCACTGTGCTAAAATGAAAGTTATGTGTACCACTTTTGGAACATAGTTTCACCAGAATGCCCGAAAGGTATCACTTCGTTCATCCTTTACAATGTATGGAGGCGGTTACTTATTTATGTTGCTGTTTTAAACCTGCTTTTAGAAAAATGTTGCATAATTTTTCATTTGAATTTCACTCTTGTTCGCTACCTTGCCTGCTCCTTAATCTTTGCATTTTGTTTGTTTGTTTGTTGCAGGAATATAGCCATCCTCTCACAAGTAGCAAGCAATGGTCCCCTCTCTTCTGTCCTCCCTGAAAACTTCACAGATTACTCTGCCTCACAGTATAGTGCTTGGTATCGAGAGCTGAACAATGACACAGAGCAGCTGCTGCTGAAGTTGGAAGTCGGAGACTGCCGTGTAGAGGACGAAATGAACAAGGTGACCAGGCAGGGCGAAGAGTAATAAATTAGCTCCTTGCCCCCTACCCATTAAATAGCTACATTGGGATTATTTATCAGGGGAGAGGGATGTGAAGCCATTGAACTGTTCCTGTTCAATCTGTTAAGAAATATGCAGCCTTGGGTTGTTGTATGTTTTTCGGGCTATATAGCCATATTCTAGAAGCATTCGCTCCTGATGTTTTGCCTGCATCTATGGCAAGCATCCTCAGAGGTTGTGCAGCCTTATTGTCCAAAGGGACCCTTATGTTTAGCTTAAGCCTGCCACTTGCCATTTTCCATGCATTGACTCTCTCCTTCTCTCTGCAGGGTGTGGAGGGCACTGGCCTGGCTTTCATTGCTTTCACAGAGGCCATGACGCTGTTTCCGACTGCCCCCTTCTGGTCTGTGCTCTTCTTTTTCATGCTGCTGAACTTGGGACTGAGCACTATGCTGGGGACCATGCAAGGGATCATCACTCCTCTGCTGGACAACTTCCAAAGTCTCCAGCGTCATCGGACCCTTTTCACAGGTACATAAGAGTAGCCGTCAACAGCATGCTGGGTGAGGAACAGAACACTGACCCCCCTGTACTCTCTTCCCTTTCTGAATGTCTGGATGGGAAAATAGTGGTGCTGGCATTTGCCTGTCTCTGCAGAATGACCCTTGGCTTCTCTAAGGAACATATAAAAAATCCATTATTTTGGCGCCCAAACTTAACCTCAGCTTGAGATCGATTTATCCATGAGCATATATGGTATAGATTGATTAGTCTCAGGCAGTAAAATGGCAATTCTGCAATCGCACCCCTTCTTGTTGGTTGCCTGAGACACCTAGTCTTTGGACCTCAGATTCACTTCTCAGTCCTCAACAAGTCCAAAGAGACCAAAAAAATGTTAAAAGTGTTGTTGAAGGCTTTCATGGCCGGAATCACTGCGTTGCTGTGAGTTTTCCAGGCTGTGTGGCTGTGTTCCAGAAGCATTCTCTCCTGACGTGTCACCCACATCTATGGCAGGCATCCTCAGAGGTTGTGAAATCTGTTAGAAACTAAGCAAATAGGGTTTTTATATATCTGTGGAATGTCCAAGGTGGGGGAAAGAACTCTTGTCCACTTGACGCAAGTGTGAATGTTACAATTGGCTACCTTGATTAGCATTGAATGGCCTTGCAGCTTCAAAGAATGGCTGATTCCTGCCTGGGGGAATCCTTTGTTGGGAGGTGTTAGCTGGCCCTGATTGTTTTGTCAGGAATTTCCCTGTTTTTTAGTGTTGCTCTGTATTTACTGTCCTGATTTTAGAGTTTTTTTAAATACTGGTAGCCATATATTATTCATTTTCATGGTTTTCCCCTTTCTATTGAAATTGTCCACTTGCTTGTGGATTTCAATGTCTTCTCTGTGTTGTCTTGACATTGTGGTTATTAGAGTGGTCAAGAATTTTGGTGTTCCCAAATAATATGCACTGTAGATTAATTCAACCAGAAAAGTCCTCCATATCAGAGCACCTGATGGATCAACCTGGACACGGCATATTATTTGAGAACACAGAAATGCTGGACCACTGTAACAACTACCATGTCATGTAGTTGGATAGTTTCAACAGAAAGGAGAAAACCATGAACATGAACAAAATCTGGCTACTAGTAGTAAAAAAATTAAAATCAGAACAGTAAATAGAGGAACACTAGAAGAATTCCATACAAGAAACAATCAGGGCCAGATAACACCTCCCAACAAAGGATTCCCCGGGCAACAACCAGCCAGGCTTTGAAGCTGCAAGTCCATTAAATGTTAATCAAGATGGCCAATTGTGACATTCACACTTGCCTCTAGCAGACAAAAGTTCTTTCTCCCATCCTGGACTTTCCACAGATATATAAACCCCACTTGCCTAGTTTCCAACAGAACTCACAACCTCTGAGGATGCCTGCCATAGATGTGGGGAAACATCAGGAGAGTATGCTTCTGGAACATGGCCATACATCCCAGAAAACTCACAGCAACCTACTAATTATTTACCAGTGTCTGAAGTCTGATCTGCCAATGTGCTCTTCTTTTCTATTCTTGCAGTGTTGTGTTGCATTATTGGATTCTTACTGGGCTTAGTTTTCGTTCAGCATTCAGGCAACTACTTTGTCACCATGTTTGATGACTATTCAGCGACACTTCCCCTGCTTGTTGTTGTGACTTTTGAAGCTTTTGCTGTGGCCTGGATCTATGGCGCAGACAGGTAATTATCTACCTTGCTTTCCAGTTTTTCTTAACCATCTGCTAATTTGTCCTTTGATTGTTTGGGAGTTGCTGGTGTCGCCTTTGTAGCCTCAGGCAAAGCCTGGATTTTTTTCCCCATGGAACTTCAAAGACATCTTCCTCTTTCCACTCATTGTCCCATATTCCATCATGGTCTTGTCTCTTGCTTCCACAGATTCTTAAATGACATAGAAAAAATGCTAGGGTGGCGCCCTTGGAGAATCTACAAATACATGTGGCGCTTTGTGAGCCTTGGAGCAATGTTGTGTTTGCTGCTAGGAAGTCTGTTACGTATGGTTTTGAAGCGACCCACCTATCAGGCCTGGAACAGAGAAAAGGTAATCTAAAATATTAATTTAGACTTAAGATTTTAAGAAATTGATTTGTAAATAAATGTTGCAACTATGGATACAGTTTTGGCAATTTAATTACAGGCAAAATGTTGATGCCCTGAGTAAAGTTCCTGACTTTATGTCAGAGGTAACTTCTCTGAACCCAGAAGTCTCTTTGTTTCACAGCAGATAGAGTAGAAACCATAAAAGAGAATTCCTAGCACATGTCATAGATACAGCTTCTCTCTGTATAACAATGCAGCCATGATATGAAAACTCTTCTAAACTGTATTGTCGAAGGCTTTCATGGCCGGAATCACTGGGTTGCTGTAAGTTTTTCGCGCTGTATGGCCAGGTTCCAGAAGCATTCTCTCCTGACGTTTTGCCTGCATCCATGGCAGACATCCTCTGAGGTTGTGAGGTCCGTTGGAAACTAAGAAAATTGGGTTTATATATCTGTTGAATGTCCAGGGTGGGAGAAAGAAGTCTGTTGGAGGCAGTTTTCAATTGGCCACCTTGATTAGTATTTAATGGCCTAGCAGTTTTCAAGGTGTGACTTCTTACTGCCTGGGGGAATCCTTTGTTGAGGTGATTAGCTGTCTGTCCTTGATTAGCTGTCTTCTAAATTATTTTGAGCCATGCAGCCACTGAAAGCATTAGACACAATGGACTGCAAGCATAGATGGGTCCATATATTATCTTTCTTCCCCGTCTTTCTCTTTGCAGGCAGAGGAACAGCAGCTGGAATATCCACCGTGGGCCCTGGGTGTTCTGGTTAGCCTTATTGTTGTGGCTGCTCTTCCCATCCCGGTTATGTTCCTCCGGCAGCTGTTGATAGAGCGGTTTGCTGGGCACAGTAGAGGGACTGGCATGGCAGTACCCACGGAAGAAGAAGATGAGGCAGAAGAAAAAGAAAGTCCAGCTGATCCAGATCACCGAGGCAATGGATACGTGTTGGTCAAGGCAGAAGATGGACAGGATTAAGAGGCATTGCCTCATGTGAGGTGTGATGTATTCCAGCTCGTAGATCATGAAGACTGCTGATTTCTTCCCCAACCTCTGCCAATCCTTGATCATGGGAGACATACGTTTTAGCCCACTCCTCCATGGTGCTATATTTATACTGCTGGAGAAGAGATCTTCCAACTCATGACACTCCCCATCCTGCCTGTAGAAGTTCTTCTACTCTTATCTCCTATCAGTGGCTGGAGATAACACATTATTTAAAGACCGGTACAGTTCTGAGCTCAGGTTTGGAGACCAACAGCAGTTTGCATTCTTAAAAACATATTGCACCATTACAACTGGTCCTGAGCACTTTGCTTTGATCCCAGTTTGAACCATCCTATAGAACTTCTGCTCTTATCTCTAATCTGTATTTGGCGATTGGAGATCATTGATTATTTATAGACTGCTAAAATCTGTACAAAAAAGAAGCTTGGGTTTGCAGACAGGCAACGTTTTGCATTCCTGAAAGATGCTGCAGTGGGGTAGAGCAGTACAATTCACAACTAGTCCTACCTATTTTGCTTTGACCCCCGACTGCTTTTTCCCAAGGCAGTGTTGTAATGTGGTTTCCCAGACCCTTTGCTGCTTGAAATTCAGACCTTCAGCCAAAAAGCATTCCAAACCCCTCGTGTAGAGGCTGGTTGTCAAAGCAGGATGCTGAAACTCAATTGCTTAGGCTGATTCAAGTCAATACCAGCCGTTTTTCGACTTAAATTGCCTCCAGATAGGAAGTCCCTTGTGCCAATTGGTCATTGCATTTCCACTGTAAACTAGGGCTCCTTCTACACAGCGGAATAAAATCCACATTGAACTGGATTATATGGCAGTGTGGACTCAGATAATCCAATTCAAAGCAGATATTGTGGATTATCTGCCTTGATATTCTGGGTTATATAGCTGTCTGGAAAGGCCCTAGAAGTACGGTTGCACTTGGATTTCCCATACCATTGAAGATAATGCACTTTTTGTGTGTTTGTTCCACTTGTTCTGTCCACACTAGTGGGCTAAATGTGTGGTCCCATGACGAAAATATATGAGTAGCCATTAGAAGGGCTAAAGCAATCATCTTTTTTTTAAAAAAATTATTTAGCATTAGATACTTGTTCATCTGAGCATAATTGTCCAATAGTAAACATAAAGGTTTCCCCTTGACATTAAGTCTAGTCAAGTCCGACTCTGGGGGGTGGTGCTCATCTCAGTTTCTAAGCTGAAGAGCCACCATTGTCCGTAGACGCCTCCTAGGTCATGTGGCCGGCAGGACTGCATGGAGCACTGTTACCTTCCTGCCGAAGCAGTACCTATTGATCTTCTCACATTTTGATGTTTTTGAACTGTTAAGTTGGCAGAAGCTGGGGATAACGATGAAAGCTCATCCCGTTCCACGGATTTGAACCACCAACCTTCCAGTCAGCAAGTTCTACAGTTTAGCAGTTTAAGCTGCTGCGCCACCATGGCCCCCAATTGTCCAATTTCAGATGTGAAATACTTTCACAAATCCAAACTATTTTAAACAGTTGTTTTGACTCAGAATGGGGTCAAAATTGTAAACAGAGAAATGTTAATGGGTGGATAGGGGGAAATCATATTTCTGAAATGGTAGCGCTTGAATTTTTTCTCCTGTTTTTGAAAAGTGACAATGTCATACTGCTAGTAGCACTCCTTCATGGGTATTTTTATGGCTTGTTATGATTGTAAGAACAGTTCCTGCCACATATCTCTCCTCCTCGGTGCTATTGTAAGATAGATGCATATGAATAGCAGTCACCAGACTGTCTGTTTTTATAATATTCTCCATGGGGAATTACTAAAAATTATTTAATAGTTCAGTCATTGAACTGTGCAAGGGAGTTACATTTTCTTTTGAAGTAGGTCAAAACAAGAAACTCAGATGGAACTCTCCCTGTTGGGATGAGGGACCTGTGTTTCATGGGAAATATAACTTGTGGTTCCCTAAAGAAAGCTATAGACAAGGCAGCAAAAAGTCTGGTAAATGAGAATGCTCTTTTTTTCTTTCTTTCTTTTCAATAAAAGCTATTTGGTAGAAACAAGCAATTCAGTTGTGTTTTCTGAAATCTTTGGGGAGATGAACTTTTGCATAAAATCAGATATTATTTTTGTCTACCTGCATTTTAGCCTTGTTTCTTAAACAACATAAGTTGCAATTAAGAGGAAATTATTAAGTACTGAGTTTGTTTAACCAAGGCAGAGCATTTTGTAATACAGAGTGCATCTACACTACAAATGTACACTGCAGTTTGACACCAGTTTAACTGCCATTGCTCAATACTATAGGATCCTGAGGCACCAGCACTCCTTGCCAGAGAAGACTAAAGACCTTGTGAAATTATCATTCCTGTGATTCCATAGTACTGAATCATGGCAGTTATGTCAAACTGCATTAATTTTACAATGCAAATGCACTCATAGTTGTGCTTCTTTGCAAGCTCAGTTTCCAATGGCATTGTGTAATTCTTTACAGGGCAGAACACCAATGGTCTCACAACCTGTTTTGTGCTCAACTCTCATTGAAGTTGCCATTTCTTAAGTGATCTAGAGTAGTGCTGCTCAGAGTGGCAGTTTGTGGGAATCGGTACAAGTCCTCAAACCATCAGCTTTATGTTCCCTGGTGAGTTTCCAGGGGGGAAAAAAGAAATAATTTTGTGGTGGAGTCTCCATCTCTGGAGGGTTTGAAGCAGAGGCTGGATGGCCATATGTTGTTAGTTCTTTGATTATGTGTTCCTGCATAGTTGGAGGTTTGATTGGATAGCCTTGGGGTCTCTTCCAATTCTGATTCCAATTGCAACCATTGGGGGAAAATTTGGTAGAGTCTCGCTTATCCAACATAAAAGGGGTCGGCAGAACATTGGATAATAAGGAGGGATTAAGGAATAATCTATTAAATGTCAAATTACATTATGATTTTTCAAATTAAGCATCAAAACATCATGTTTTACAACAAATTGACAGAAAAAGTAGTTCAATACACGTTAATGTTATGTAGTAATTACTGTATTTATGAATTTAGCACCAAAACATCACAATGTATTGAAACAGCTGTGGATCCAGACTGCATTGGATAATACGGAACGTTAGATGAGCAAAGGTTGGAAAAGCGAGACTCTACTGTATTACTCATTGGCATATTGAAGGAAATACTGATTTAAACTTTATAGGGAATTATAGCACAATTAAAGCTTTAAACTATATAAGGTCAAGGGAGAAGACTTAATCTTCTATGACATCCCAACTGTGAAATGTCCTCCTCTTTGAAGCCCAATTGGTGCCAACGTTTACCATATTTTTACATCAGGTTAAAACATGGATTTTTATTAAGAGCCTTTGGATAGGGTACAACATTTTGCCCAAATTGTATAGGTATAAGGTTTCACAACTGTTTATGTGTTTTAAATGGTTTTGTGTGCTTTTAGAGTTTCAAAATTATTTTTACAGTTTAAAATTGTTCTACATTTGTAGTATGTTGCCTTGAGATAAGGTTGTATATAAATGTTTTAATAAAGAGAATTATAAATAATATGATGTGCACAGAGTCTGTGGTGTATATGTAGCTACAATGTAAGGCAGACCTCTTTGAAGATGTTAAAAAAAATATGAAGCCATAAAGCACTGATCTTGTTGTCAGGAATTAGAAATACAACTTTTTGGACTAAATCTCCCAGATGCCCGTGTTTTCTTTCCTTCCTCCCTTCTTGCATACATGTCACCTAGCAGCAGCCAAGCCACTCCACCCCCTTTCTTTCCCAGTGACATCACAAGGGGCCACTTCACCTAGCCACAGCCAATCTGCTTTGTTCCTTTTCTTTCCCTCACTCAAGTCTGGGTCAAAACAGGTGGTTCTTTTAGTTCAAATCAGTCAATTAAGTTGGATAATAAAGAGTATATGTGACAAGTTTGGTCCAGATCCATCAAGCCACACAGGAGCCTTTGTGGTACAAATGGATCCACCAACATAGATACATACCTACATAAATGCACATATACTTTGACTATAGATAGATAGACTAGCTTAGGTACTCAGCAATGTCCAGATTAGGTAATTTGTAATGCTATGTATAAAAAGGGTATTTGTTTTTTGATGTTTTGAATGGTCCTATTAGAAAATGCATTAGGATGTGGGTGAATTACAACACCCATCATCATCTGTGCTCTCAAACCGCACCATATTTAAACTTGGTCATGAAGGATATATGTGTCAAGTTTGGTCCAGATCCATTATCAGTGGGGTTAATGTGGGTGAACTACAACTCCCAACACCCCTATTCTGACTTACAAACAAATTCAACTTAAGAACAAACCTACAGAACCTCTCTTGTTTGTAAGTTGGGGACTACCTGTATATATTCCCCCACACATATATGAACATTCCCTAGAATCTATATACAGATACACTATATATGTGTGTACACTATAACACACATATATACATACACAACCCATATATATATATATCCTCTATATACACTCCCTCTATATATCCCCATATACATTCTCACTATACCACACACACACACACACATATATATATATATGATCACACATATTCCCCCACATATATATATACACATTCCCTATATGCAGACACTATTTATATGTACTATAAAAGGTAAAGATTGTCCCCTGACATTAAGTCCAGTCATGTCTGACTCTGGGGTGTGGTGCTCATCTCCATTTCTAAGCTGAAGAGCCGGCGTTGTCCATAGACACCTCCAAGGCCATGTGGCCGGCATGACTACATGAAGCGCTGTTATGTACTATACACACCTCTCTCTCTCTCTCTCTCTCTCTCTCTCTCTCTCTCTATATATATATATATATATATATATACTGTTTATATACCTCCTCCACAGATATATTCTCACTATTCATACCCTATATATATTTCACACAAAGATTATATATATATATATATATATATATATATTCCCCCCACACACATATACACATTCCCTATACATACACACACACATATATTTATATATTTCAGATATATATGGTATGCATATATGTATATATATTCAACCTTTATCTGGGATTCCAAAATGATGGTGGCACCTTTGTTGTTCATTCGTTCAGTCGTCTCCGACTCTTCGTGACCTCATGGACCAGCCCACGCCAGAGCTCCCTGTCAGCCGTCACCACCCCCAGCTCCTTCAAGGTCAGTCCAGTCACTTCAAGGATGCCTTCCATCCATCTTGCCCTTGGTCGGCCTCTCTTCCTTTTACCTTCCACCTTCCCCAGCTTAATTGTCATCTCCAGGCTTTGCTGTCTCCTCATGATGTGGCCAAAGTAATTCAACTTTGTCTCTAGTATCCTTCCCTCCAATGAGCAGTCGGGCTTTATTTCCTGGAGGATGGACTGGTTGGATCTTCTTGCAGTCCAAGGCACTCTCAGAACTTTCCTCCAGCACCACAGCTCAAAAGCATCGATCTTCCTTTGCTCAGCCTTCCCTAAGGTCCAGCTCTCACATCCGTAGGTTACTACAGGGAATACCATGGCTTTGACTAGGCGGATCTTTGTTGCCAGTCTGATGTCTCTACTCTTTACTATTTTATCGAGACTGGACATTGCTCTCCTCCCAAGAAGTAAGCGTCTTCTGATTTCCTGGCCACAGTCTGCATCTGCAGTAATCTTTGCGCCTAGAAATACAAAGTCTGTCACGGCCTCCACGATTTCTCCCTCTATTTCCCAGTTGTCAATCATTCTTGTTGCCATAATCTTGGTTTTTTTGACATTTAGCTGCAACCCAGTTTTTGCGCTTTCTTCTTTCACCTTGATTAGAAGGCTCCTCAGCTCCTCCTCGCTTTCGGCCATCAGAGTGGTGTCATCTGCATATCTGAGGGTGTTAATGTTTTTCCAGCAATTTTCACCCCAGCCTTGCATTCATCAAGCCCCGCACATCGCATGATGTGTTCTGCATACAAGTTAAAAGGTTGGGTGAGAGGATGCAGCCTTGCCGTACGCCTTTCCCAATCTTGAAAGCCAGTCTGTTGTTCCATGGTCAGTTCTGACTTGCTACTTGGTCGTTATACAGATTCCTCAGGAGAGAGACAAGGTGACTTGGTATCCCATACCACCAAGAACTTGCCACAATTTATTATGATCCACACAGTCAAAGGCTTTAGAATAGTCAATGAAGCAGAAATAGATGTTTTTCTGAAACTCCCTGCCTTTCTCCATTATCCAGCGGATATTGGCAATTTGGTCTCTCGTTCCTCTGCCTTTTCTAAACCCAGCTTGAACATCTGGCAACTCTCGCTCCATGTATTGCTGGAGTCTTCCTTGCAGGATCTTGAGCATTACCTTACTGGCATGAGAAATAAGGGCCACTGTACGGAAGTTTGAGCAGTCTTTCGCATTTCCCTTTTTTGGTATGGGATATAAGTGGATTTTTTCCAGTCTGATAGCCATTCTTATGTTTTCCATATGTGCTGGCATATGGCATGCATCACCTTGACAGCATCATCTTTTAAGATTTTAAACAGTTCAGCTGGGATCCCGTCGTCTCCTGCTGCCTTGTTGTTAGCAATGCTTCTTAAGGCCCATTCAACCTCACTCCTCAGGAAGTCTGGTTCTAATTCATTCACCACACCGTCAAAACTATCCATTATTATCTTTCCTATACAGATCTTCTGTATAGTCTCGCCACCTTCTCTTGATCTCTTCAGCTTCTGTTAGGTCCCTGCCATCTTTGTTTCTTATCATACCAATTTTTGCCTGAAATTTACCTCCAATGTTTCTAATTTTCTGGAAGAGGTCTCTTGTCCTTCCTATTCTGTTGTCTTCTTCCACTTCCATGCATTGCTTATTTAAAAATAGTTCCTTATCTCTTCTGGCTAACCTCTGGTATATATTTCAGGTATATATGATATGTATATATGTATATATATTCAACCTTTATCTGGGATTCCAAAATGATGGTGACACCTTTGCTTTCTGATAATCCAATATACATTTTATCCCACGCCCTAAATTATTTTTTAAAATACTGAGGGGGGAAAGTACAAAGGTATGTGTATAAAATGCATTTATGAAAATCCAACTTATATCCAAATAATACAGGTATTCAAAAATCTGGGGGACAGAGAAAAAAAAATCCCAAACACTTCCTGTCCCAAAGTTGCCAAAAACAAGAAGAAGGAGCTTGACAACAAGCTGGACTTCCGGTTGGAACATTCAAAGAGGAAACAGAGGAAGGGAGTTTGGGCCGCTCTAAGAATGGCGCCGTCGTTGGTAGAACGCGAGGGGAGGGGGGGAGGAGGGAGAAAGGAGCTGCCTCTGAGTCACGTGACTGCAGGAGGCGCCCTTGTTGTTCCTCGGCGTCCCGTCTCCTTCTATAGGCTGGCTCTGCCTGGGCTGCTGGGTCACGTGACTTTTTGTAACTGGGCTCGCCGGCTAGAGGCAAAAGGCAGGGCAGGGCAGAGCGCGTTGCATTGCATTGCATTGCCTTACATTGCATTGCATTGCATTGCATTGTATCGAAGGCGAGATGGCGGCAGCAACAGCGGATCCTGGGAGATCGCGGGAAGCTGAGGCCCCTCCTCGGAAAGCGGGTGAGAGAGCCTGCCTCCTTCTGCCATTGGCATTGAGTGGGAAGAAGGGATGGGAGGAAGAAAAAAGGGGAGATGATTGACAGCTCTGCATTGATTGGCGGGAAATATATTTCTCTATATATAGAGTAGGGGGTATCAGATTAAAGTCTACCACTGCATAAGTTCATGAGAAGATAAAAGTGCTGCCATCCCAGGCTGCATCTACACTGTGGAGTTAACACAGTTTGATACCGCTTTAACTTCCATGGCTCAGTGCTATGGAATCTTGGCATTTGCAGTTTTACAATTATAGAGTTGGAATAGACTTCATGGGCCATCCCATTCTGCCAAGAAGCAGGAAAATTGCATTCAAAGCACCCCTGACAGATGGCCATCCAGCCTCTGTTGAAAAGCTTCCACCACACTCCGGGGCAGTGAGTTGCACTATCTTTAGTCACTCTGCCAAACAGTGCTGGTGCTTCACCAAGCCCAATATTTCATAGTATTGAGCCAGGGTAGTTAAAGTGGTGCCGAACTGCATTAACTCTACAGTGTAGATGCATCTCTAGACACCCCATTCAACTGAAAGTGTAGATGCATCCCTGGACACCCCATTCAACCCCATTCATGCTATCCACTCTGACCTGGGAACAAGTCCCATTCAACTCTCTTTAAGTCCAATGGGAAGAAAGATGCTGTCATCCTGTAAAGTCCTACCTGGCAACAAAAGCCTCATTCAACTCTGGCTCCATCTACACTGACCAGTCCAACCCATTCTGCCAAGAAGCAGGAAAATTCAAAGCACCCCTGACAGATGGCCATCCAGCCTCTGTTGAAAAGCTTCCACCACACTCCGGGGCAGTGAGTTCCACTATCTTTAGTCACTCTACCAAACAGTCTTGGTGCCTCACCAAGCTACAATTCCCAATATTCCATAGTATTGAGCCAAGGCAGTTAAAGTGGTGCCGAACTGCATTAACTCTACAGTGTAGATGCATCCCTAGACACCCCATTCAACTGAAAGTGTAGATGCATCCCTAGACACCCCATTCAACCCCATTCATGCTATCCACTCTGACCTGGGAACAAGTCCCATTCAACTCTCTTTAAGTCCAATGGGAAGAAAGATGCTGTCATCCTGTAAAGTCCTACCTGGCAACAAGAAGCCCCATTCAACTCTGGCCCCATCTACACTGACATTTAATACAGTTAGAAGCTAGCTTCAAACTGCGGCAGCCAAATGACAAACTCTCACAAAAAGCGCACGAAAGAAAGCCCTTAATGCGTATCGCTGCTCTGTTGTTTGTGTAATCGCCGTCCAGTCCTCAAACCAGTTTCAAGAGTACTCATTTGCACAGTGAAACCACTTTCTTCAATAACAGTTTGAAACTACATTATGTAGTCAGTGTAGATGGGATCTCAGTTGAGTTGAATGGGGATTATTTTCTTATCAAATGCTAGCACTATGTATTTCCTATACAAGGCATGCCTGGGCATGAAACTTGGTATTTACTGCAGTTTATTTCGAAGACCCTTCATGAGAACCCAAATCCATGGCTGCTTGAGTCCTATTATACACAATGGCATAAGAAAACTGTGTCCTTTGTATCAAGTGTCAAAATCAAGGTTTGCTTTCTGGACCTTTTTAGAGGGGAATATTTTTTTTCAACCATGGGTATAGATCTGTGAATATATAGGACTTGACTACATTTTCGTTTTGTCTCTTGGCAACTTATTCTCTTCCTCTTTGTTTGAGTTGCCTAGACTATGTGATGTATTTTTGACTTCTTCTTCTTCTTATTGTTGTTGTTGTTGACACAAAAACATAGTATGTCACAGCAAACAAGATATACATGCGGGATTTCGTATCACAAAATCGCAAGTCGAACACTTCCCAAGCGTCTAGGACTGTGTGATGTATTTCCGAATGATGCGCACAGATACAAGTAAGGTGGGCTTTTGTGGTTGACAGATCGTGATTTTGTCAATGTTTATTGATTCCAAGTGCCGGCTGAGATCTTTTGGCACAGCACCTAGTGTGCCGATGACTACTGGGACCACCTGTACTGTTTTATGCCAGAGCCTTTGCAGTTCAATTTTGAGGTCCTGATAACAGCAGTTTTTCCTGTTGTTTTTCCTCAATGCGTCTGTCACCTGGAATGGTAACATCAATAATCCGAACTTTTTTCCATAGTAGTAGTAGTAGTAGTAATAATAATAATAATAATAATAACAACAACAACAACAATAATAATAATAATGATAGTAATGGCATTCCTCCCTTATAAGACCCATAATGGTTGTAATGCTAACACTTTAAGGATTGGTGTGTTTTCCGGGCTGTATGGCTATGTTCCAGAAGCATTCTCTCCTGATGTTTCACCCACATCTATGGCAGGTATCCTTGGAGTTTGTGTCACCTCACAACCTCTAAGGATGCCTGTCATAGATGTAGCCAAAACATCAGGAGAAAATGCTTTTGGAACATGGCCATATAGCCCGGAAAACTCAATGCAAACCAGTGATTCTGGCCATGAAAGTCTTTAACAAGACTTTAAGGATTATTCTTGGCAATAGAAATGTCTTTAATGGCTTTTGAAAATAGGGCATTAAATGATATGGAAACAAATGCACATATCTATTTACACATTAAGACTGTTGGCTGCAATTTTTTCTGTTTACCATAAATTCGCCTGATTTTTTTGTAAATCGAAACTATAAAGCATCACCATATCTTTGGCGGTAGATAAGTTGATGATGTCACATTACACAAGGAACATAAGAAAAGCCAAACGGGATCAAAGTCCATATAATCCAGCCACCTGTTAGCTACAGTGGCACGTTTGACATTTCTGGAGGTAGATGTTCAATGTAGTTCCTCCTCTCTGCAATTTTCTGCAAGTTTCTTTCTGGGGGGAAACCGTGTTAGTTATTAGTCATTGCTTGGTCTCATCCCTTCTTCCTTGAAGTTTACAATCTACATTTAGATCAGGGTGGGGAAGAATGTATGGGAAATGGGTTGTAAACACCAGGCCAAAAGTCACAAAGGCGCCTGATGTTTGAATAAGTTTTTGGATTTAATTTGAAAAATATATTTTACACATAATGTAATATAATTGTATTTCCCATAAACGCTATGTATGATGTTATATTAGTAATATTAAAATAATAACTTTATTCATGTATCCCACCACCGAAGAGAATCAGGGTGGCTTTCAGATGTGTCGAAAAACATACATAAAAGTAAACACAATATAAAATACTAACAGCTAACTATGGCGGTAAATACTGGCGCCATGCCCAGTATAGCATTAGTATAGTAGTACTAGTCCATGCTCCAGGAAATAAAGCCCGACTGCTCACTGGAGGGAAGGATGTTAGAGGCAAAGGTGAAGTAATTTGGCCACATAATGAGAAGACAGGAAAGCTTAGAGAAGACCATGATGCTGGGGAAAATGGAAGGAAAAAGGAAGAGGGACCGACAAAGGTCAAGATGGATGGATGGTATCCTTGAAGTGACTGGCTTGACTTTGAAGGAGCTGGGGGTGGCCACGGCCAACAGGAAACTCTGGCGTGGGCTGGTTCATGAGTTCACAAAGAGTTGGAAGCAACTGAATGAATAATCAACAACACCACTAATGATGCACTCCCTGGTTACAGGGAAAGTGAGGACAGGTGTCTCAAGGACTGAATCAATGTCTTGCTGAAGACCACTGTATTGCCAGAGAATGGTATTTCACTGTAAAACAAACAAACAAATAAATAAAGGAGTTCTTAAATATTGAAACCCCATTGTAACTTTTGACCTACTCTGTATGTTGCAGATTGTATTTTGTTTTGGAAATGAAGATGTAAACATGACACCAAACTTACTTAAGTTAGCTTGGAAGAAATGCTTGAATTATACTGATTTCTTTCTCCAGCGGTGTAGGGTGTAGACATCCTGTGATAATGCGGCATGTCTCATTAAGAGCCACATCCACTGTTTTAACGTGGTGAGATGTATTCCATACTGGTGTGCGTACTCAGCAGGAGAGTAGCAAAGCGCAAGGGCAGTTGTTGTCACTGTGTCTGGTTGCGATTCCCAGGTTGTGCCAGTCAACTTTCGTATGATATTATTTTTAGCACCCACTTTTTGCTTGATAGTCAAGCAGTGCTTGTTGTAAGTCAGAGCATGGCCCAGAGTGACTCCTAGGTATTTTGGTGTGCTCCAGTGCTTTAGTGAGATTCCTTCCCAGTGATCCTCAGAGCTCGAGATGCTTGTCTGTTCTTAAAATGAAAAGTACATGTCTGTGTTTTAGATGGATTAGGAATCAGCTGTTTTTCCCTGTAATAGACAGTGAGAGCACCTAAAGCTTTAGAAAGCTTTTGTTCAACCATTTCCAAACTCCCTGCTTGAGCGGTGATGGCACAATCATCGGCATAGATGAAACTCTCTGTCCCTTTTGGCAGTGGCTGGTCATTTGTGTAATTTACGTGATAAATACTGATTTCCTTGCTATTTGCTTATGTTGTTCTTGAGAAACTAGTTGGTGAGATGATGGAAGGAAGCATTGCCCTGGTCAGGAGTAAAAAGGCTGCCTAGACCATCTCTGATCCTTTTCCGACTCAGATTTTATTTATTGATTTTCTTCATTGCCTATTAAGGAATTGCTTCACCAGTCAGATCAATATGATTTTCCTCTCCACTTTAACCTCACAGCAACCAGTAAACTAGGTCAGGCAAAGAGGAAGTCCCAGTTCAACACTTCAACTGCAGTCAACTCTTCACATTCGCTGGGGTTAAGAACTAATCAAATCTATAAATAATCATATCCGCAAATGACAAAACCACAAAGGTTGAAGGCTAGCTATTTTGTACTATATACAACTGTGTTCCAAAATGCAGCTATATGTTAGAGCATGCGAATAAAAGACTCTTGGCCTAGCCTTATAGATGCCCTGTGAGATGCATTACCAACAGCCTCTGAGTTGTGGGTGTAACCTATAGACTTTGGGCCTGACCCTGACTTTTCTTTCTGCACATAATACTTTTGCAGAGTTGCTGAGTCTGACTAACTGTAAAGGGCAATAAAACCTGCAAAACAAATTATTAGTCATAATGATTGTATTACACTGATGAGGAAGGGGGAAGAGCCACTTGAGAAAACAGAAGGGAAAGAGTTTATTTGCTTGATTGAGTTTCTGTTTTGCGTCTTTAAGTCAGGTTGCTGTGTCTCCAAGAAAGGTAAGGAGCCAGTTCCAGTATATGAAAGACAGGTGGAATCCAAGTGTCTTGTTTTTTTTCCTGGTGAACTCATGCACTCAGCTATGAGCTCATACATTGCATTTACGAAGAGCGATATGGAGGAAAGTAATTGCTTTTTTCTTTCCTTTCCATGATGTTAGAACTAAATTTGGACTTGACGGTATCTAGTCATTCGCACGTTGGACTGGCCGACAGTAAGGCCATGTTGCTTAGGATCGAAGAAATTGGAGTCCAACATGTGAATGACTAGATATCATCAAGCTCCAATAGAGTTCTAACAGACAAGGATTTTCAGTTTACATTGATATGAAAAGTTATACAGTCAGCTCCCCACAGATTAAACCATTCATGTTTTGAAAATATATATTTTTGAATTACAAACGACAAACTTTGATTTGAAAGCGAAACCATAAATTGCAATGATCTGATACTGTGCACAGTTTTACGTAACAGTCTTAATAATAATAATAATAATAATAATAATAATAATAATAAAAAACCTTTATTTGTACCCCGCTACCATCTCCCGGAGGAATCGGTGCGGCTTACAAGAGGCCGAGCCCAAATACATCAGTAAAAACACAACAACAACAACAAAATTAACTCAAAACAAAGCAATAAACATTAACGAAACACAACGACACATTAAAATCCATGGCAGGGCCAAATGTAATAGTTAAAATTAAAAATATGCTGGGCATGACCAGGTGAAAAGGGTAGGTATTTGGAGGGAGATGGGGCATGCAGATATCCTGGTAGAGTGCATTTGGGGACACATTGCTTGGAGTTTCCTTATTCTGGGAAGGCACACTGGAACAACCACGTTTTCAAGCTCCTCCTAAAAATTGCTCTTCCTCTTATGTAGTTCCTACAATCCATTTTGGAGGAGTCAATTTATGAACATCTAGTTTTATGTTTTGTCCATCATTCTAAAAGTAAATATTATACTACTGGTACTTTTAATTTTTCCCATTTTCAGGGGAAAAGGGACTTTGGGGAAAATGGAAAATTATGCCAATGCTAATCAAGGTAGCCAATTGCAACATGCACACTTGCCTCAAACAGACAAGAGTTCTTTCTCCCACCCTGGACATTCCATAGACCCCACTTGCCTAGTTTCCAACTGACCTCACAACCTCTGAGGATGTCTGCCATAGATATGGGCAAAACGTCAGGAGAGAGCGCTTCTGGAACATGGCCAGACAGCCTGGAAACCCCACAGCGACTCAGTGATTTCAGTCACGAAGGCCTTCAAGAACACAATACTGTGTAACAATTTTTTTAAAAAATTCTATTCCTGGTTTGAACTTATTATTTCGTGTTGAAAGTGTTATTTCCAGCCAAGCCTTGAAGCTGCTAGGCTGTTCAATGCTAATCAAAGGGATCAATTGCAGCATTCACACCTGCCTCAAACAGACAAGAGTTCTTTCTCCCACCCTGGACATTACACAGATATATAAACCCTACTTGCCTAGTTTCCAACAGACCTCACAACCTCTGAGGATGCCTGCCATTGATGCAGGCGAAACGTCAGGAGAGAATGCTTCTGGAACATGGCCATACAGCCCGGAAAACTCACAGCAACCCACTGAGTTGCTCTTACACTTTCCTGTCCTGCGAATCTTTATCTCCCTAAACAGAGCTACATTGCTCCCCCCCCCCCCCCCCCCCAGCTTTTCTTATTATTGTCTTTCTTTCTTATGCAGGCACCAGTTCAGATCAGATCCTTCAGACAGGAACGGTGCTTCTGAAAGGGTGAGTATTCAGAGAGAAATAGATATACTATAAAAACCTAGAGAAGAAATTGGCATCTCCTGCCTTCCAGGTCTTAACTACTGTTCCAAGATGTCCTACTATTGGTCTAGAATGTATGAGAACTAAAAGATTATTGGTTCCTCAGTTCTGGGGCCATTTCATATTATACAATGATAGCACTGTTATTCCACTTTAACTATCATGGTTCTGTCTGATGGAATCATAGTTTTGTTGTTTGGTGAGGCAGTAGAGCAGTGTTTCTCAACGTGGGGGTCGGGACCCCTGGGTGGGGTTGCAAGGGGGTGTCAGAGAGGTCGCCAAAGTCCATCACCAGACACAGTATTTTCTGTTCATCATGGAGGTACTATGTGGTAAGTTTGGCCCAATTCTATCATTGGTGAGGTTTGGCATGCTATTTTATATTAGGTGAACTATAAATCCCAACAACTAAAACTTGTAAATGTCAAGGTCTATTTTACCCAAACTGCACCAGTGTTCACATTTGGGCATACTGAATATCCATGCCAAGTTTGGTCCAGATGCATCATTGTTTGAGTCCACAGTGCTCTCTGGATGTAGGTGAACTACAACTACAAAACTATGCCCATCAGCATTTTCTGTTGGTCATGGGAGTTCTGTGTGCCAAGTTTGGTTCAGTCCCATCATTGGTGGAGTTCAAAATGCTCTTTGATTGTAGGTGAACTATAAATCTCAGCAGCTACAACTCCCAAATGACAAAATAAATCCCCTCAACCACACCAATATTGCCAAATTTGGTCCAGTGAATTTATATGCCAAATTTGGTCCAGTGAATGAAAAGATACCCTGCATTTCAGATATTTACATTAAGATTCTTAACAGTAGAAGAAATACAGCTATGAAGTAGCAACAAAAATAGTTTTATGGTTGGAGGTCACCACAACATGAGAAACTGTATTAAGGGGTTGCGGCATTAGGAAGGTTAAGAAACACTGCACTAAACGACCAATCACAGGATTCCATAGGATGGGACCATGGCAATTAAAATTATATAATAGCTCTACAAAGGGACAAGAATCTTTGGATATGGTGAGGATTTCTGGAGAACAGGGCAAAAAGCCATAGTTGTGTGTTGGTTGAACGGAGGACATCAGGTGACGAAATTGAGACAGTAGCACAGCTGGAATTGTCTTGCTTTCTAAATAGTTTCCTTTGAGGCGTCATTTTTTCTATTTTCCCCTTGTGGCAGATTTATCTGGGACCGAGTGCAGAGCTGTGGAGACTCTGAACGCATCCAGGCAACGTTGGCAGAGCTCAAGGAATCAGAGTCTCGGATTTGTGACCCCAGCACCAAGAAGTTGAGTGAGTGCCTGCGCCGGATCGGAGATGAACTGGATGGAAATATGGAGCTGCAAAGGTGCATTTTCTTGTTGCCAGTTACTGCTGAAAAAACCACATACCCAGCATGGTGTAGTGCTTTGGAGTACGACTCTCAGAAGACCCTTCCAGATAGGCCCTATATCCCAGGATCTGATCATTATATGAGTCCGCACTGCCAGAAAATGTGGGGTAAACATAAAACCTGAGATATAGGGCCTGTCTGGAAGGGCCCGGAGAGTAGGGTTTGATTCCCCATGACATCCAGCAGTGTTCTGCCATCAGCAGTACAGATACTGCTGGCAGATTAAATTCCCCTACACTTCCTTGAAGTCTGCTCTGGAATATTGTGGGAGATTCAGGGTAAGTTGGAGGGAGTCTGCTGGGTAGGGGTGATAAACTGAATGGCTTTTCTAGTTTTATAGAAATCCAATTTTTTTAGTTAAAAACATAAACTGAAAAGTCCTCTTATTCATGAGTCAGGGCCCTTCCACACAGCCCTATATCCCAGAATATCTAAGCCGAAAATCCCACAATATCTGCTTTGAATGGAGTTATCAAAGTCCACACTCAGATAATGTGGGATTTTCTGCCTTGATATTCTGGGATATAGGGCTGCGTGGAAGGGCCCTAAGTGTGCATACAGGCAGTCCCCAAGTTACAAACACCCCTGTTTGTAACTATGAGTCATTTGTAAGTCAGATGTTTGTAACTCGGGGACTACCTGTACAGTACCTTAATTCTTAACACAAAAAACCCATCTCTGAATAGAGTAGCAAAAGATGAGAGCTTAGTTATTCTAGAAGAACCTACAAGAAGCACAGACTTCTATTCACTCCTTTGAAGCGATGTTTCTGGCCTTTTTTAAATGCCTGGGTGGGAAAATGGCAGAGGCAGCCGAAGGTGGGGGCTAGTCCTCTGAAGAAGCATCGGTGCTTTCCGTTGGGTGAGTGGGCTTCTTAACAATAGATCTTCCTCATAAATGTACAGCAGAGTAACTTATTAGCAGCAGCGTGACCCAGCACCAGTAGCCCAAAGTGATAAAAGGAACAAAAAACACACAGACCAATGTTATCTCTTCCATAGGAGGCTTTTTTATAGCAAAATAATATGGTTGCACTATTTACAAGATCATAGAATCCTAGATTTGGAAGAGACCTCATGGGCCATCCAGTCCAACCCCCTGCCAAGAAGCAGGAATATTGCATTCAAATCACCCCTGACAGATGGCCATCCAGACTCTGTTTAAAAGCTTCCAAAAAATGAGCCTCCACCACACTCCAGGGCAGAGAGTTCCACTGCTGAACAGCTGTCACAGTCAGGAAGCTCTTCCTCGTGTTCAGATGGAATCTCCTTTCTTGTAGTTTGAAGCCATTGTTCCATTGCGTCCTAGTCTCCAAGGAAGCAGAAAACAAGCTTGCTCCCTCCTCCCTGTGACTTACTCTCATATATTTATACATGGCTATCATATCTCCTCTCAGCCTTCTCTTCTTCAGGCTAAACATGCCCAGCTCCTTAAGCCGCTCTTCATAGGGCTTGTTCTCCAGACCCTTGATCATTTTAGTCGCCCTCCTCTGGACACATTCCAGCTTGTCAATATCTTTCTTCAATTGTGGTGCCTAGAATTGGACACAGTATTCCAGGTGTGATCTAACCAAGGCGGAATAGAGGGGTAGGATTACTTCCCTAGATCTAGACACTATGCTCCTATTGATGCAGGCCAAAATCCCATTGGCTTTTTTGCCGCCACATCACATTGTTGGCTCATGTTTAACTTGTTGTCCACGAGGACTCCAAGATTTTTTTCACACATACTACTCTCGAACCAGGTGTCCCCCATTCTATATCTTTGCATTTTGTTTTTTCTGCCTAAGTGGAGTATCTTGCATTTGACCCTGTTGAACTTCATTTTGTTAGTTTTGGCCCATCTCCCTAATCTGTCAAGATCAAGGTTTCCATAACATGAACAAAATTCTTTATACTTCCTATTTTGAACAGCTTCCATGCTGGGCTTCTTTCTCGTGCAGATAAACAGCTTCACTCTCACAGAGCCTCCTCTCACACTGAAGTAACACAGGAGCTTCACACAGTAGCTTTGCACACAGCAGTCTTTACTCTGGAGCTTCACACATGAACATTACACACGAGGCCTTTAACCTGGGGATTCCCTCACCAAAGCTTCTCACACACCAGGCCTTCTCATACTGAAGCCTACTTCCCATTGAGGCCTTCTCACTCTGAGGGCTCTCTCAGACCGACGCCTCTCATACACTGAGGCGAACTAAGCTACAGGCACACCTGCTTATACTGAACTACAGCTTTTGCAGAGTCATTGCATCCATTTAACCCTTTCAGTGCTTCACTCACATTTTTATAATTAAATATACTTAGTTAATACCTAATATTTCTGACACTTTCCCCTCTTTGTGGGTTTATTTGCAGTAAGTCTGTTCGATGCTAGAATAGCACTTATTTTGTTAGAGGCCTCAAACTCCATGTTTGTGGAAGGAAAGACAATGCAAAGCAAAGAAATAATAAGACTATTGGCTGATGAAACATTACGTTTAACTTTCTGTAAGCTTCTTAGTTGTTATTCAGCATAAAACCGACAGGGAGGTGTACCATAGAGCAAAAGGAGCACACGGAAATAACAGTTACGTCAACCAAAGACCAGCTAAGCCATAGAATAACAACAGTAACCAGCCGTTCAAGGTGCTGGAATTCTTCTGCAGAGGAGAAAAATAAATAAAGCTTTGCCTGGTATCAGAAAAAGGTCAAAGTTGGTGAGCTGCTCTTGGGTGTGTATTCCAAGTACGCTCCCAGGAAGTGTGGCTTTTGTGGCAGTAAAGGTATTGGGGCTCCCTTGGGACTTGCAGGCTGCACTAATGTCATTGGGGGAGATGTAGCTTTAGATAAGAGTGAGTTTTAAACATTCTTTTGTGGCCTTCTCTGAAAGACGGGTTCGGTTTTGTGCTCCATTTTGTGTAAATGGTCACATAGAAGGAATTTCCCCCCATGCCATTGAGGTTAGTGTCTGAGCATAGTTCCGTTCGTCACTGAATTCTTTTGTAGCGTGTGGTTTGGTTTCCTTATTCAGACTCTGTTCGCTGATTATTTTATACCCCACTTTGCAGTTCGAAAAATATCTCAGTGGTGATTTGTTTCAGTTTAATTCAGGAAAGTCCCGTGTCTCTTGCTTACGACCTGAAAAAATATAACACAAGAGGAAAATGATATGAAAAGGGACAAAATAATAATAATAATAATAATAAACTTTATTTATACCCTGCAACTATCTCCCCCAATGGGGACTCAGCCCGAACAACAAATTACAATACAAAGAAAAAAATACAAAATTACAATAAAATAAACAACATAACATTAAAGTATAAAAACATCAAAGCATATAAACAATATACACAGAACATAGAAAAATAACTAAACCAGGCATAAGTTTTCAATGCTATGAAGTTCCACTGGGGAAGAGGCAAAACTTGGAGTTGGCGGTATTATTGAAGGCTTACATGGCCGGAATCACTGGGTTGTTGTGAGTTTTCGGGGCTGTATGGCCATGTTCCAGAAGCATTCTCTCCTGATGTTCAAAATCTGGCTACCAGTATTAAAAAAGATCTAAAATCATAACAGTAAATAAAGAACAACACCCAAAAACAGGGGAATTTCAGACAGGAAACTGTCAGGGCCAGGTAATCACCTCCCAACAAAAGATTCCCCCAGGCAGTAAGAAGCCAGACCTTGAAACTTCTAAGCCATTAAATGCTAATCGGGGTGGCTAATTCTAACATTCATACCTACAATAGCAGATTCCCAGATTAGTTTAGTGTTTACACCTTATTTTATTTTTCTGGTTATTTAATATTTAATGTTTATTTTACTTAAGTGATATTTGTCTTTACTGTTCTAACGTAGCACAAATCCTATGTAAAATCATAGAATCATAGAGTTGGAAGAGACCTCATGGGCCATCCAGTCCAACCCCCTGCCAAGAAGCAGGAATATTGCATTCAAAGTACCCCTGACAGATGGCCATCCAGCCTCTGTTTGAAAGCCTCCAAAGAAGGAACCTCCACCACACTCCGGGGCAGAGAGTTCCACTGCTGAACTGCTCTCACAGTCAGGAAGTTCTTCCTCATTTTCAGATGGAATTTCCTTTCTTGTAGTTGGAAGCCATTGTTCCGCGTCCTAGTCTCCAGGGAAGCAGAAAACAAGCTTGCTCCCTCCTCCCTGTGGCTTCCTCTCACATATGTATACATGGCTATCATGTCTCCTCTCAGCCTTCTCTTCTTCAGCTCTTTAAGCTGCTCTTTAAGCCGCTCTTCATAGGGCTTGTTCTCCAGACCCTTGATCATTTTCGTCGCCCTCTTCTGGACATATTCCAGTTTGTCAATATCTCTCTTCCATTGTGGTGCCCAGAATTGGACACAATATTCATACTACGTATTTTAGACATTAATATTGAAATCTGAAATATATACAGAAAGCGTTCTTTCTCCCACCCTGGACATTCCACAGATATATAAACCCCATTTTCAAAGTTTCCAACAGACCTCACAACCTGTGAGGATGCCTGCCATAGATACAGGTGAAATGTCAGGAGATAATGCTTCTGGAACATGGCCATCCAGCCCGGAAAGGCCAGGGAGTTGACTTCTTAATTGTGTCTTCATGAAGAGGATGGAACTGTTTTCCTTCTGTCTTCCTCCTGCCTGGTGATGTGATTGATTGCTTTCTGCTTTCCTACGAATGACGATTCTCCAGATCCATTTGTTTACTGACCAAATCGAGATGATCTAAGACTTACGGAGGATGAACCTCAGCAATGTCCCCATTACCTCATATTTCCTTTGTGTGGTCTGCATTACATCAGACACTTGGAGATTTTATTCCCAGGACACACAACATTGTCGTTATCCTCCTTGAATCTAACCAAGGTTGCTTTTTAAATCCTGTCTCCCACAGTATGATAGAGCAAGTCCAGGTGTATCCGCCGAAGGAGGTTTTTTTCAGAGTCGCTGCTGAGATGTTCTCGGATGGGACCTTCAACTGGGGACGAGTGGTAGCTTTGTTCTACTTTGCGTGCAAGTTGGTCCTGAAGGTAAGTATGCTGCGGCCACTCTTCCCTTCATTTGATTGTTGTGCAGAACTTGGAAAGGTTACTTTTTGAACTGGAACTCCCAGAACACACTGGTCTGCAGGGCCAATGGCAGTTTTGGGGGTGAAAACAGAGGACCTTCTCGGTGGTGGCCCCCTGACTCTGGAACTCACTTCCCAGGGACATCAGACATGCCCCAACTCTGGCAGTCTTTAGGAGGAGCCTGAAAACATGGTTATTCCAGTGTGGCCTCATGTAAGCTGCACCACGTCCCTTGGGAAGATGGTAGCGGGGTACAAATAAAGATTATTATTATTATTATCACTGCACAACCATTGGTAGTGTTTCTAGTCCACGAAAGTAACTTTCCCAGCTCTGTCTCACCCTCACTACTGCTTAACACCTGGTTCTTCCCTTTCATCTCCCATTAACAGGCAATTTGCACTAAATTACCAGAACTCATAAAGACCATCATTAGTTGGACAATGGAGTACATCAAAAATCATGTCGTGACCTGGATCCAAGCCCAGGGAGGATGGGTGAGTTGAAAGCCGATCCCTTAAGCAAATCAGTGTAGCTCCCAAACTTGAAACCCAAGGTGACATTGAACAACAACTCCCAGAATCCAGAATTATTTGCTCCCTGACTCTAAATATAGGATCTAGTGCAAACTTGGGCCCTCCAGGTGTTTTGGACTTCAACTCCCACAATTCCTAACAGCCGTAGGCTGTTAGGAATTGTGGGAGTTGAAGTCCAAAACACCTGGAGGGCCAAAGTTTGCCCATACCTGATCTAGTGCTTCAGGTGAAGGAGATGTTGAGTGCTTGTGTTTTTTTTCTTACTTCAACATTCACCAATTGGAGTTACGTTCAATTAGGTTTCTCAGCTGTTAAACTGATATACAGTAGAGTCTCACTTATCCAATCTTTGCTCAGCAAATGTTTTGTATTATCCAAATGCAAGGATAGAGAATGGGCGACGTGTGGCTCGAGAGTAGTATGTGTGAAAAAGATATTGGGGTCTCGTGGACAACACGTTAAACATGAGCCAACAATGTGATACGGCGGCAAAAAAAGCCAAAGAGATGTTGGCCTGCATCAATAGGAGTCTAGTGTCTAAATCCAGGGAAGTCATGGACCACACCTGGAATATTGTGTCCAGTTCTGGACACTACAATTGAAGAGAGACAAAACAATAGTTTTAGTAAATCACCTGCCTTGGGATGTGTGAATGTGGTGAATTTCACTCAAGTAAAATTCCATTAATGAAGCAAGAAAGGCTTGTCAGAAAACCAACTCTGAATAAAGAGTCAGAATGTCTCAAGCCTTATGTTTATTTATGGAGGGGTGGGCTACTGTGGAATGCTAGGGGGATGTATTCCTGAAGCCTGTCATTTATTTCCCACTCCCTCTTTGTTCCAGGAGGGCCTCCTGTCCTACTTCGGCACCCCAACTTGGCAGACCATTGCTGTATTTGCGGCTGGCGTCTTGACTGCCTCGCTGACCTTCTGGAAAATGTCTTAATCTTCAGCCCCCTTTGGTGGGGGTGCATTTCTCTTGTGTGGGAACAAATAGAGGCAGGTCCCTCTGGTTCCCCAATTCAAGGATTAATATGTACTAAGATTTTTATTTCAGTTGTGGGCTGGGGAGATTTTTCAAGCAAACCAACAAACTCTGATGCTCTTTATCTTGGTGCCTTTCTACAGGGAGAAAGCTCACTCCCTTATTATTTTCCCTTCTTGGCTTGGCTTTTGACCATTTGGCCTCAGGGGCTAGAAATCAGAAGGCCATGAAGCTTGGAAAACAAGACAAAGGATGTGAGAAGGTTGTTCTCGTTTGCTGGAAAATCGCACTGCTGGACTTGAATGTGGTTTTCGGGAAGAAGGCTCCAAGATCTTTCTTGTCCAACACCAGCAGCTCCCCGGCTTTCTTCATACATCTGCATAAAGCAGGTTTTGCCTGTCTTCCTTTATCTCTTTCTCTTCCTTGATATGAAAAATCTCAGAAGCTGAATTTGGACAGATCTTCAGAAATGCAGATCCAGAATCTCACCCTGATGGTGATTCAGAGCAGCTTCCAAATTGTCAGTGATTCAATACCATGCACACATTGTTTTCTGTTTGGAAAGAATTAGAGGTATTTCACCTGAGGAAAAGATAATACTTTGAATTCGTAAATTCAGTCTTTTTGAGTTTTTTTTAATGCAAGCAACCAATCAGGACAAGATTGAATACTGCTGCGGAGGTGAATTTCAGCAGACACTTTATTGCAGATTCCTGTGTGTTGTGTTTCTTGCTCTTTTTTTAAACGGTGCAATTGTAAAATGGAAAAACTGAAGCCATGTTTTCGTTCTACCAGACCTATTTGCTTTGCTAGAGAAATGCTTCGGCGAGCACTAGAGAAAAGAAGAAATGGATTTCCTGCCCCGGATTGAGAAAACAGAAGCATGGCTTTATAAAACAGTTAACTCTCTAAGTCTAAATGGAACAGAAGACTTCTTCTTTTGCAAATTTTCTTGCTGGCTTGAAGGATTCATCTGCTGTTGAAGAAATTTTCAGCTACCTTGAGACTTTAGTTATTTCAGAATTGGAGGAGAGAGTAGGTCAGGTTTCTCCCTGTAACTGTGGAAGAGCCTCATCTCACTGGTGTCCTGTTCTCTTTTTTCTTCTACTGAATGAATGACTTCTTCTCCAAGTCTGTTTAACCTCTCAGCTCAGAAAAAGTAGCCACCAAACGGTCCTATCGAATCCACTGTCCCAATATGAAATTTCAATTAACTACTGTGATGGGAGAGTTTGGGTATTTGGATCTGTTTAAAGAAGGATGTTGTGTCTTCCTTTCTGTTTTTTCTTTCACGCTGTCTCTGCTTTCTTCCCTTCTTGGCAGCGATCGAGTGTTGAGACTGCATGTCTGACTAAATGCAGAGCCAGTCATCTTCAACACATTTCCACTCAAATTTGAATCTTCCTTGTAGACATGCACCTTGAAATGTGCAGAATGGTGCTTAATAACTTCCTAACCCAAAGGGTATGGGGCTTTTGTTTTCATCTAGTAGCCTCAGAGTGCCATCGAAGTCTTAATTTTTTCACTTTTCTGAGACATGCATTCAAGTGTGTTCTTATTTTTTTGTAAACATCATTATTATGAATTATTGTCTTCCTTTGTTTCCCAGGGCAGGTGGTTCAGGCAGAAACAGATGGGCCCTAAGTGTAATATAGCATGTTATTGTTGTTGAGAGATATCAAATGGACTTGGGTCCTGTGTTTTCTTCTCTCCAGAGCCAGCAAGATCCCACTTGCTAGGGTTCTTTTCTTTGGTAGGTCATCTTCTGACCCTGAAACTTCCACTCTTGTCTTGTGGACAACTGTATTTGCCATCTATTGTGGCTGCCATAATATGGCTGGGGGTGGGGGTAGTTAGATGTGCTCACTTAAAGGAAATATAGTGGTTGGCAAGCAGAAATAGTTGGTCTCTCACAGCATAAAGTAGCACTATAATGCGCCATTTTATAATGTTTGGACTGCCACATGTGGCAGTGAAGCTTCTGCCTGATCTAGGAGACCCACTTGAAAGGCAGGAAGGGTCTAGGAGTGAACAGAGAGGTGAAATGCAATATTTTCTGGATTACAACTCTCCAGATTCCCCAGTCAGTTCCTCACTATTACCATTCTGACTGGGAAATACTGGGGTGGCAATCCAAAACTGTCCAGAACAACTCTAGTGCATGCATAGGAAATTTCTTTGCCTTGGGGCTGGATTGTGGGTCAGGCCAGGAAGGGGGGGGGCTGGGCACACCCTGGGTGGGGAGGGCCCAGGAAAAGACAGGCCAGGAGGGGACAGGACAGGGCCCGGGTCATCCCTAGGTTGTCCTCCCAGAATAAGGACAGGGCTGCTTGTCCAGTCCTCATGCTGGGATGAAGGTGGGACACACGGTGACTGCACTGACCCTTCTTCCCATCCTCCTTTCCTGTTCTTCAGGCTGTCCTCTTGGCATTATGCCGAGAGGAGGGCAAGACAGGTGGTTGCTGAGTGTGCTCCAGAGGGCTCTCAGCCACTGCGTTCCTTCCTCGAGCCATCCTCCCAGCATAAGGATGGAGTCGCTTACAACGTCCCTATGCCAAGAGGAGGGTGAGACACACAATGGCTGAGAGTGCTCCAGAGGGCTCTCAGCTGCTATGTGCCTTCCTCTCCCATCTTTTTGGCATTAGGTCATGGCGAGCCACTATGTCCTTATGCCAAGATGAGAGGGAAAATGTGGAGGGCCTGTGGTAAGTGCCCAGGGGGCCGCATCCGGACCCCGGGCCTTGGTTTGCCCATGCCTGCTGTAGTGGAATGGTGTTTGATCAGTGGTCCTTCAGACATTTTGGATTTGAAGCTCCAGAACCCTTAGGCCAGTGGTTCTCAACCTGGGGTCCCCAGATGTTTCTGGCCTACAACTCCCAGAAATCCCAGCCAGTTTACCAGCTGTTAGGATTTCTGGGAGTTGGAAGGCCAAAAACATCTGGGGACCCCACATTGAGAACTACTGCCTTAGGCCCATCTACTTTGCAACATAATGCAGTTTTATAATGCAATGTAACTGCAATCAACTGGATTATAAGACAGTGTGGATAGGGCCTCCTTGGTTATGCACTGTGCTGCCTGAAGATTCTGGAGGATGAAGTCCACAACAAGATTAGAAAGCCAAAAAAGGTGGAGTAATCTTATAGTTGCTTATAAATAAAGTCTAGAAGAGATGGCCTTCCAGATTTTGGATTGCATCTCCCACCAGCCCTATGTAGCATGGTGAGGGCTAATGTAAGCTGCAGTCCAATAACATTCGGAGGACTGCATGTTCTTCAACACAGTCTTCAAAGTCTTCCACCAAAATATTATGATATAACTATAAATAATGTCTCCGCTCTCTGCTGAGTTGGGACCATGCTTATTATTAGGAAGCCCTACTAACTTCCCTTTAAAGCAGTGGTTCCCAATCTTTGGGCCTCCAGGTGTTTTGGACTTCAACTCCCAGCAATCCCAGCCAGTTTACCAGCTTACCAGCTGTTAGGAACTGTGGGAGGCGAAGTCCAAAACACCTGGAAGCCCAAAGGTTGGAAACCACTGCTTTAAAGATCTGAATTCGTCTGCTTGTCCAGGCAGATTGCTTCAGCCAGATGTTGCATTGCAAATCTTTAGAGTGGGACAACGAGAGATGGAGGTTGGTGAGCACAATATCCAGTGAGTTGCTTGATAACCAATTGTACTTGAATACATATATTGGAGTGAGACTTTTTGTTTGTTTGTTTGTTTCCTCAGGGTTTGGGTTAAAGAGGGAGTGACGTCATTAAGGGATGGACAGGGCAAGCTCCAGTTGTTTCAGAAATGAGAACTGAAGGATACTGTATATGTCGGTGTGTTGGGAATGCTGGGCTCGTTATTAGAAGTCATTATGAAATATATATATATATACACGATTGTTTTTCAGGATGCCGTGACATTGGCTTTGTGAAGTAAAACAATCTGGGAATGAGCAGTTACTGAGCCTGGGGGTGGGAAGGGAGGGCTTTCTCCAGTGTTTTGGGGAGGGGGTCAGTGTCCTGGATTTTCAGTGCTTTGTGTGTTCAAGCGTTGGTCTTACTTTACTTGTCTTCCCAACTTCTTTTCACATGAGGTTGATTTACCAAACTTGGATCTTAAGGAAGGTTTCCTAGGTCATTTGCATGGCGTTAAGTTCTCCCAAAACATTTGTTTTGTGACAGTTGCAGTGTGATTTGATGTGTTCAGGGTTTGATTCTGACCCTCTTACCTACTTCTACCTGTCTCCGGATCGGCACCTTTCATGGACATAGTGTTTCTGTCTCTACAATCTCTACTCCATCTGCCTCTCGCACAAAGCACTTGGTGTCCTTGCACACTACACAGTTATAGCACTACGATTCTACTTTAATGCCCACGATTCCCTTATTTTGTATCTTGGGATGTGGAATTGGGAGATTTAATTAGAATTCTGAGCCAGAAAGCTATAGAGTAGGCATGGGCCAACTTGGGCCTTCTGGGTGTTTTGGACTTCAACTCCCATCATTCCCAACAGCCTCAGGCCCCTTCCTTTTCCCCCTCAGCCGCTTAAGCAGCTGAGGGGGAAAAGGAAAGGGCCTGAGGCTGTTAGGAATGATGAGAGTTGAAGTCCAAAGCACCCAGAGGACCCAAGTTTGCCCATGCCTACTATCGTGTCTCTCCAAACTACAACTTCTGTGATTCCATAAGTGGAACCATAGTGCTATAATCGCGTACATGTGAAAGGTCCCTTGGATAGCATTGTGAGTTTGGAGTTTGGTGGAGCTCTCAGGTAACAAAACTGGACAAACACACCTGTATCAGTAAAAATTAAGATCACAGCGCTCTATAGTTCAAAAGGTCCCCCATCAGTCTGCTTCCAGAAAGGGGCTTATTATTATTGGACGGTAGAAATTTTACTTTTTTTGGGCTGGAACTCCCACCATCTCCTGTGTAGCATAATTTGGGACGGTGGTCTGCGAGTTGCAATCGGAAAAAGGTAATTTTCCCCCCATTAACAAGAGAAAACTGGATAAATGTCCTGCCCCTTTAAGCATTAAAGGTGCAGGAACCCTCCCTAGTTTTTACTCCAGCTGCCCTATCTCTAGATTGGATCTACACTGCAGTGTAATTCAGAATATCAAAGTAAATAATCCACATTTATCTGCTTTGAACTAGATTATGTGAGTCTTCACCGCCATATAATCCAGTTCAAAGCAGATAATCTGGATTTTATATAGCAGTGTAGGAGGGGCCTTAGAACTTCAGGACTAGCACTGTTTTCCCCTTGCCTTCTCTGAACTTGATTTTGGATTGATCTAGGATCCTTCTTTGAGGGCTTTTTAGGGAAGGATACTTTCAGGAGAACCTATACGAGCATCATATTTTTACATAGGTTTGTCTGCTAGACAGTACCATTGACATCACATGCCTTCTTTTTCTAGTGGCACATTTTGATAGCATTTTTATAGAATTTTAGCATAGATTTAACAGCTACAGACCTAACAACCACATGGTGTTTGATTCTAAACTGTGGGTGTGTCTACATTGTAGAATTAATTCAGTTTGACAACACTTCATTGTCGTGGATCAATGCTATGGATTGCTGTGATTTGTAAAACTACAACTCCTATGTTACCATAGCATTGAGCCTTGGAAATTAAAGTGGTGTCAAACTGCATCAATTCTACAGCGTAGTTGTGTCCTACAGCAGGCACAAACCGAACACCAGTTTCGTTTGCTGTATTTGAAGACAGCTGTCCAAACAGTAAGATCCCTTCCTAACTAGCTGTTCTATGCAATTGTTGCCTCTTTTCTTATGCAATACTTTCTATGCTTTTTTAAAGAAATTAAGTACTTTCTTGTTTTATAATTTTTTTACAAAACATGTTTGATACATCTTTTATCACTCGTTTTACTTGTTGAGTTATATAATGTTAAAAAAATTGTCGGTTGTTTTTATTGGTGTGTGGACATTAAAAAGAAAATGGAATGCAAGCTCCAGAGTGGTTTGTGTGGTGGAAACGGGATGGGGAGGGGAGGTGATAAGCAATGCTGGGACTCACATAGTGGATCATAGTGATAACTGTAGAATGGTCCTCATCAGTTTAAACTCTTTATTCTTCCTAAATGTTCATCAGATTGCTGAATAACAGGGCAAATCTCATACATTTTGTTATTTGCCATCAAGGTGGCATTGAATTTGGTGACTTGAATAATAGACTTCCGAGAGTCATCAAGGGATATAAAAAGAAGAAGAGGAGAAAGGGAGAGAAAAGAGAGAGAAGGGAGTAATCTGCAGAGATTACTGCAACGCTCTCTACGTGGGGTTGCCTATGAAGACTGCCCGGAAGCTCCAACTAGTACAACGTGCGGCAGCCAGAATGCTAACACGAGCAGGGTACAGGGAGCTTACTACTCCTCTGTTGCACCAGCTCCACTGGCTGCCAATTAGCTTCCGAGCACAATTCAAAGTGCTGGTGTTAACCTATAAAGCCCTAAATGCTTCCGGCCCAGTTTACCTGTCCGAACGTATTCTCCCCGATGAACCATCTAGGTTGTTAAGATCGTCTGGAGGGGTCCTGCTCTTGGTCCCACCGGCCTCTCAGGCGCGTCTGGTGGGGACAAGGGACGGCCTTCTCGGTGGTGGCCCCTCGACTCTGGAACTCTCTCCCACTGGAGATCAGAACTGCCCCCTCCATTCTGTCGTTCAGAAAACGGGTGAAAACCTGGCTATGGGGTTTGGCTTTCGACGAGTGAATCAATATTTCTGTGATTGGATAGATGACGATGAATGATGGACAACGAATTCACTATGACGACTGACCATTGTTATTATGTGATTGCATTTTGCTGTTATAACGTTTTAATTGAATATGTTATATGACGTTTTTAATTATTGTTTTGTGATTTTATTGTTGGAAACCGGCCCGAGTCCCCCGATAGAGGGGAGAAGACCGGTATACAAAATTGTTAAATAAATAATAAATAAATAAAATAAGGGAGAAAGAAAAAGAGAGGGGGGAAAAGGGAGAGACTGAAATTGAGGGAGAAAGCGTGAGGGGGAGACCGACAGAAAGAACGAAAGGAGCTCTGCGTTAGCAGAGCCAAGACTGATTCCACTGAGATGGAGGTTGCCTCCTCGGTGGGCTGGATAAATGCCCTCAGTGGGCCGCATGTGGCCCCCGGGCCGTAGTTTGAGGCCCCCTGCTCTATACCATGCAAGAATATACAACTAAAGCACTCCTGACAGATGGCCATCCAGCTTTGGTTGAAAAAACGTGAGAAGGAGACTTCACATTCAAGAGAGACAGTGTATTCCACATCAGACAGCTCTTACCATCAGGAAGTTCTTCCTAATGTTTAGATGGAATCTCTTTTTCTGTATAGTCCTTTCACAGAACACAGCACTATAATTCCTCTGTATTTATTTATTATTTATTTACTTTACTTTACTTGTATACCGCAGTTTCTCAGCCTAACTGGCGACTCAACGTGGTTTACAACAAGGATAAAATCAATCAACGATATACAATTTAAAACCATAAGAGCACAATATACAATATTACACAACAGTAACAACACAATGCATCTCATAACTAGAGTCGTGATCCAAATTCGTTGTCCATATTTCCATTCCTGTAATCGTCACATTCATTGCACTGATTAACCAAATGCCCGTTCAAACATCCAAGTTTTTAATCTCCTTCGGAACACCATTAGCGAGGGGGCTGATCTTACCTCCATGGGAAGGGCGTTCCACAGCCAAGGGGCCACCACAGAAAAGGCCCTGTCTCTCGTCCCCTCCAGCCGCACCTGTGAAGCAGGCGGGATAGAGAGCAGGGCCTCCCCAGAAGATCTTAGGGTCCTGGCGGGCTGATAGGCAGAAATACGTTCGGATAGGTAGCTTGGGCCAGAACCGTTTAGGGCTCACACAGTTGGATTTCTTTCTCACTGTCAACCCTTTACTCCCTAAAGGAATATTGTTCTAGAGCAGGGGTCCTCAAACTTTTTAAACAGAGGGCCAGATCACAGTCCCTCAAACTGTTGGAGGGGTGGATTATAATTTGAAAAAAGCATGAGAAGTCAGCCATAGCAGAGCACCTGATGACCCAACCTGGACACAGCATATTATTTGAGAACACAGAAATTGTGGACCACTCTTAACAACCACCATGTCAGACTACACAGAGAAGCCGTTAAAATCCACAAGCATGCGGACAATTTCAACAGAAAGGAGGAAACCATGAAATGAACAAAATCTGGCTACCAGTATTTAAAAAAACTCTAAAATTACAACAGCAAAACAACAGAGGGGAAACAATCGGACATCTAATCACCTCTCAACAAAAATTGCCCCAGGCAATGCTAATCAAGGTGGTCAGTTGAAACATTCACACCTAGCTCCAGCAGACAAGAGTCCTTTGTCCCACCCTGGTCATTCCACAGATATATAAACCCATTTTCCTAGTTCCAACAGACCTCACAACCTCTGAGGATGCTTGCCATAGATGCAGGCGAAACATGAGGAGATAATGCCTCTAGAACATGGCCAAATAGCCCAAAAAAACCTACAACAACCCATGAATGAATTCCTATGCACAGTGCACCTATCTTGTTTGTAGTGCAAAATACACTTTAAAACAATACAATAATAAATATAAACTTATTAGTACTTCAGTGGGAAGTGTGGGCCTGCTTTTGGCTGATAAGATAGGATTGTTGTTGTGTGCTTTTAGGTAGTTTCAAACTTAGGTTGACCCTGAGCGAGGGCCAGGTAAATGACCTTGAAGGGCCGTATCTGGCCCTCAGGCCTTAGTTTGAGGACCCCTGTTCTAGAGCGTTCATGTCAATGTTCAATACCACCAGTTTTTCTGGGGCTGAGATGGTGTGACTCACCCAATATCAATCAATGGGTTTCCATGGCAAAGCAGAAATCAAACCCTGGTCCAGTGCCCACAGCACTACGTCACACTAACTGTCAGAAAGGAATTATAGTCCAAATTTTCAAACTAAAAACATCAAGTTATGTTTGGCCTAATTCGTTTTTTATGATTAGATATCCACCACAATGTCAGACATACTACGACAAAGACAAAATGGACATTACAGAGTTAAAGCAAGTTGTGAGCGGTGAAATAACAGAACCATTGTGAAACCAAGGAGCAACTCTGTAACTGATGGAATGACTCTGATGTCATTTTTTGGATATGGAAGGCCAAATCACTTACAAATTATCATTTTTTTGCACAAAGGTTTTGCTATGATCTCAGGCATTTGTTTGGCTCTGCAGCTTTAGAACCATCCTGATGCTTGGGACAGAATTAAGACCTTTAGAGGCCTTGTGCCCTTACAAGAGTTTGTGCCCCTATACACACACACACACACACACATAAATATATATATACACATATATGTACATACAATAATACTATAGGTAGCTGTGGGTTTTGCGGGCTGTATGGCTGTGCTCCAGAAGCATCCTCTCCTGACATTTCACCCACATTTATGGCAGGCATCCTCAGAGGTTGTGAGGCCAGCTAACAGCATCAAAATCATAACAGTAAATAAAGATCAACATTCAAAAACGGGGGAACCCCAGACAAGAAACAATCAGGGACAGCTAATCACCTCTCAACAAAGGATTCCCCCAGGCAGTCACACCTGAAAACTGTCAGGCTATCAAATGCTAATCAAGGTGGCCAATTTAAACATTCACACCTAGCTCCAACAGACAAGAGTTATTTCACCCTGGACATTCCACAGATATATAAACCCAATTTTCCAGAAAGGAGGAAACCATGAAAATGAACAAATTCTGGCTACCAATAATTTAAAAAACTCTAAAATTAGGATAGTAAATAAAGAGCAACACTCAGAAAACTGTGGAATTCCGGACAGGGAACAATCAGGGCCATCTAATCACCTCCCAACAAAGGATTCCCCCAGGCAGGAAATAATAATAATAATAATAATAATAATAATAATAATAATAATAATCTTTATTTGTACCCCGCTACCATCTCCCCAAGGGACTCGGTGCGGCTTACATGAGGCCAAGCCCAAAGTACATCAAACAAAACATCAATAAACACAACATCAATAAACAATAAAATACAAATCATATAAATCACATAAACATAAAACAATCAATAGTGACATAAACAATTTTTTAAAAATGGGCCAGACTTTGAAGCTGCAAGGCCTTTCAATACTAATCAAGGTGGCCAATTGTAACACTCACACCTGCCTCAGACAGACAATAGTTCTCCCTCCCTGGACATTCCACAGATATATAAAACTCACTTGCCTAGTTTCCATCAGACCTCACAACCTCTGAGGATGCCTGCCATAGATGCAGGCAAAACGTCAGGAGAGAATGCTTCTGGAACATGGCTATATAGCCCGAAAAAACTACAACAACCCAGTGATTCCGGCCACGAAAGTCTTCGACAATACAATGTTGTGATTGTCCAGTTTGATTGGCACTGAATGGCCTTGCAGCTTCAGAGCCTGGCTGCTTCCTGCCTGGAGAATTCCTTCGTTGATGTCAAACCGTCTTAGATGTAGTGCGGATGGTCTCCAAAGCTCACACCCTGTTGTTTAGGCTGCTGTTTCCCTTGCTCAGCTGTTGCTTTTGTTAAAATGCTGGGGCGGGGAATGGATTTGCCCCGGAATGAGATGGAAAAGCGAAACCAAAAAGACAGTCTGCCTTTCCCTCCCGCCTTCGCCTGATTCGAATTCACAACAGAAGCGGTTTCATCTCTAGGAAAGGAATGGCATCCGAACAAGCTGGTGGTCCAGGTAAGGGGAAGGGTCGAGCCATTGGCCTGAGTCCTTTTGGGGAGATAGGGCGGAATGTAAAGAAAGTTTTATGATTTATTATTGGAGAGTTGCCAGGAGGCTGCGTTGGAGGGTGATGTGCCAGTCCCAGAGGGGAAAAACCAGGGCAAAGCGCTGGCACCCCCCTGCATGTTGCTTTCCTTTCCCTCTCCCAGATCAAAACAGAGTCCAAGCTGAAAGGTTGCCCTCATCTGCTCATGGACTTAAAGCAACAGCACTCAGAAAAGTTCCTTGTGGTGGGACTGCATCCCCAATTCCCATATAAAATGCAGGTTATCTGCATTGAAATTACTTGTATGGCAGTGTAGACTCATATAATCCAGTTTAAAGCAAATAATATGCATTAGCTGCTTTGACAATCTGGATTTTATGGCAGTGTAGATCCAGGGCCCTTCCACACAGCCCTATATCCCAGAATATCAAGATCGAAAATTCCACAATATCAGCTTTGAACTGGGTTATCTCAGTCCACACTGCCATATATAATAAACAATAAAACTTTATTTCCTGACTGTGAGAGCCGTTCAGCAGTGGAACTCTCTGCCCCGGAGTGTGGTGGAGGCTCCATCTTTGGAGGTTTTTAAACCGAGGCTAGATGGCCATCTGTCAGGGGTGCTTTGAATGCAATATTCCTGACTGTGAGAGCTGTTCAGCAGTGGAACTCTCTGCCCCGGAGTGTGGTGGAGGCTCCATCTTTGGAGGTTTTTAAACCGAGGCTAGATGGCCATCTGTCAGGGGTGCTTTGAATGCAATATTCCTGACTGTGAGAGCTGTTCAGCAGTGGAACTCTCTGCCCCGGAGTGTGGTGGAGGCTCCATCTTTGGAGGTTTTTAAACCGAGGCTAGATGGCCATCTGTCAGGGGTGCTTTGAATGCAATATTCCTGACTGTGAGAGCTGTTCAGCAGTGGAACTCTCTGCCCCGGAGTGTGGTGGAGGCTCCATCTTTGGAGGTTTTTAAACCGAGGCTAGATGGCCATCTGTCAGGGGTGCTTTGAATGCAATATTCCTGACTGTGAGAGCTGTTCAGCAGTGGAACTCTCCACCCCCGGAGTGTGGTGGAGGCTCCATCTTTGGAGGTTTTTAAACCAAGGCTAGATAGCCGTCTGTCAGGGGTGTTTTGAATGCAATATTCCTGACTGTGAGAGCTGTTCAGCAGTGGAACTCTCTGCCCCGGAATGTGGTGGAGGCTCCATCTTTGGAGGTTTTTAAACCGAGGCTAGATGGCCATCTGTCAGGGGTGCTTTGAATGCAATATTCCTGCTTCTTGGCAGGGGGTTGGACAGGATGGCCCATGAGGTCTCTTCCAACTCTATGATTCTATATAACCCAGTTCAAACCAGATATTGTGGGATTTTCTCTCTTGGTATTCTGGGATATAGCACTGTGTGGAAGGGCCCCCAGGCCACATCTCCAAAAAGCTCTCTTCTTTTAGATTCTGATGAATGCTGGCTCTACACTGCCATTTAACACAGGTTAAATGGCGTTATATGTTTAGTATAGAACTATCTTATGTACTTTGAACTGCATTGTTTTTAGAAAATGGCATTTATAACCAGGTAGCTGTGAGTTTTCCAGCCTATATGGCCATGTTCCAGAAGCATTCTCTCCTGATGTTTCGCCCACATCTGCAGCAGGTATCCTCAGAGGTTGTGAGGTCTGTTGGAAACTTGGCAAGTGGGGTTTATATATCTGTGGAATGTCCAGGGTGGGAGAAAGAACTCTCTCGTCTGTTTGAGGCAAGTGTGGATGTTGCAATTAGCAAGCTTGTTGAACTCACAACAACCCAGTTGATTAGCTTTGAATGGTCTTGCAGCTTCAAGACCTCACTTGAAGGAGGAAACCATGAAAATGAACAAGATCTGGATAGAAGTATTTTAAAACTCTAAAATCAGGACATAAAATAAAGAACAACTCTCAGAAAATAAGGGAATTCCAGACAAGAAACAATCAGGGTCAGCTAACACCGCCCAACATAGGATTTCCCCAGGTTAGGAAGCAGCCGTGCCTTGAAGCTGCAAGGCCATTCAATATTAATCAAAGTGGCCAACTGCAACATTCACACTTGCCTCAAAAAGACAAGAGTTATTTCTCCCATCCTGGACATCCACAGATGTATAAATCCCACTTGCCTAGTTTCCAACAGACCTTACAATCTCTGAGGAGGCCTGCCATAGATGTGGGTGAAATATCAGGAGAGAGTGCTTCTGGAACATGGCCGTACAGCCCAGAAAACTCACAGCAACCCAGTGATTCCGGCCATGAAATACTTTAACAACACTCTGTGAAACTGTTTCTATTTTCAAGGAAACGAGTTTATAACACTGCTGCAATAATTTCTCCAAATTCTAGAAAACATATTGGAGAGAAATCCTTTAGATTCTTATATCTTTTGCTCAGTATACAATTTTAGCACTGGGATACCTCCATAGCTCTAAGAAATCCTCTTATATGTATCTTCATGAAGCATTTATTTACTTTGCCAGTGCTCTAGTTTCCCCCCAAACTATAAATCCCAGAGTGGACTATGTAGGCAATGGCATTTAAAGTGATGAGTTTGTGAGTCTTTGCAGTGCCATCTTGCCATGCCAAGACATAGGATTTAAGAAAGACGAGAGACATAGCAGGATTCTTTCCACATTCTTGTCATAGATGGAGGAAGCGCATGTGGATCTCAAGAAATGGGAAAGAGGAAACAGTTTCTTTGCCATCTTTATATGATAAGAGAATTTATTTTATTGTTGTCTCTTTCTTGTTAAGGAATGTCAGACAACGTCTTTCACATCCTTCGAATTGGAAAAGCTCTGCTCATTGGGTAGGTTGAATTTACTCTCTGGATGAATACTAATTTGAATGCAGGTCTTGCAAAGTCATAGTCCAACACTCACTGTGAGAGCCGTTCAGCAGTGGAACTCTCTGTCCTGGAGTGTGGCGGAGGCTCCTTTTTTGGAAGCTTTTAAACAGAGGCTGGATGGCCATCTGCTTTGAATGTGATTTTCCTGCTTCTTGGCAGGGGGTTGGACTGGATGGCCCATGAGGTCTCTTCCAACTCTATGATTCTACCCATATATCTTCTTTTCACTGAATCCCCTTTATGGCAGTCTTCATGTTTACCTTTGTCTTCTTTTCCAGATACCCAAGTGCCAGCCTCCATTTGTTTGCAAATTCTTCATTATGTCCTCCTCTGCTGCTATTTGTCAATTAAATCTATGCATAATCCAATCCATAAACAACAAAACCAGAAATGTTGAGGGATGGCTATCTAGCGTCTCTGCTCACATACAAGATCTGTCGCACTAGAGCCCTGAAACACCTTTTCACCACAAACCACACTCTGTCCAGATAATCCAGTAAGTAAAAGTTTATAAAGCGAAGAGTGTTAGCAGAGTCTTTCTTTATTATAAATTCATAGTGGAAAACATCAAAAGTAAGAAAACAAACATCTTGCATCAGATATCAGACCCTAAACAAAACATTTAGAGTCCCAAACTCCAAAACGCCATAGCTTCTCCAAAAGCTCAAGCTATAGCAATAGCAGAACGCTGAGGGACGCTGAAAGCTGCTGAAGGCTGCTGCTGGCTGCAGGCAGATGCAACACATTATAATCACAGTAATTAGATCCACCTGCACCCAATTAACCAAAACCACATCACAAGCATTTCAGCAATTAAAGATACAAACTTACTTATACATACATAACCCAAATACATACAATGAACAGATAAAATTTTGCACATTTTTACAGTTCTCCTGACACTCCTCCACAAAATTATATCAGTTCATATTTATATAATCATAAATTCAGTCTTTCACAAAATTGGTTATGTTTATCACATGTAAGAGGCTTCGTCAAAATATCTGCAACATTTTCAACAGAAGACACATAGTTAAGAACAATTCTTTTGTTCTTTACAAATTGTTGCACGTTAGAATATCTAACATTGATATATCTAGATTTCATTTTTAAATTTTGACTCTTACACAATGCGATGCAAGTTTGAGAATCTACATACACCTGTATTGGTAATTCCAAATCAATGTTCATATTTTTAATTAGAGATTCAATCCACTCTACTGATGTCAAGGCATCAGATAATGCTGAAAACTCAGCTTCTCCTGTGCTTAAAGCAACTAAGTTTTGTTTTCTACTTTTCCAGCAAACTGGTGTATTGGCATATTTTATTATAAATCCTGTGACAGATTTATTTCCTTTTAAATTAGCGAATGAACTATCGCAATGGATTTCCAAAGACTGTTTGTCATTTGGGCAAATTCTGAATATTTTTTCAGCTGTTTGCTTTAAATATCTTAAAACTCTTTTTACTCCGGCCCAGTCTGTTTGTGAAGGATTTTGAATCCTTTGACTTAGGATACCAACAGAAAACGAAATGTCGGGCCTAGTATTGTTTGCAATATACAATAAAGAACCAAGAACTGAACGATAAATAAAATTGTTATCAAACACTTCTCCATCTACATGTTGTAAGAACTGAAGAGCCATAGGAGTATTAACAGTGTTTGCATTTTCCATTCTGGTTCTTTTCAAAAGATCATAAATCTTATCAGTTTGGTTTAATTCAAAACCAGTTTCATTTCTAGCAATATTTATGCCAAGATATCTATTAACATCTCCAAGATTTTTGATTTTCAATACTTTGCTTAAATTCTGAAAAACTTCCTCAATTTGTTCTTCAGATCCAATACATAACACATCATCCACATAAATTATAATAAACATTTGTGTATCTCCACTTCCTTTTGAGTACAAACAAGGATCAAAACTATTTGCAACAAAATTTAACTTTGTCAACACTTTGTCTAAATGTAAGTTCCAATTTCTTGCACTTTGTTTGAGACCATAAAGACTTTTTTTTAAGAAGATAAGTCCCATCAGGAAGATCAGATTCAAAACCTGGAATAGCAGAAATATAAACTTTTTCCTCTAAATCTGCATGAAGGTATGCAGTATTCACATCAAAATGTTTGACTTTTAAATTTCTATTACTGGCAATTGCAAGGGTTATTTTTAGTGCTTCACCAGATACTGTGGGGCTAAATATCTCATTAAAATTTTCTCCATATATCTGTTCAAAACCTCTAGCAACTAATCTGGCTTTGTACAAATAACCACCATCCTTTGTTTGTTTACGTCTATACACCCAACGACAACTTAGAACTTTTGCATTATCAACTGTTTTAGATTTCTCCATAACTTGCAAATCTTTCAAAGAATCAAATTCACTTTGCATTGCTTTTAACCAAAGCTTTCTTTCAGTCTCTTCTCTATTCAACATCTCTTTATAACTTTGAGGTTCAGACCAGTCATGGTCTGGTACTTTCACAACTTCACAATGATATCTCTTTGGAGGTATACCCTTAGTTATCCTAGAACTACGTCTAGGAATGGTCCTAGTACTATCTCCTCCATCAGTCTCATCAGTCTCTGAATTACTAGAGCTAGTACTTTGTGAACTAGAGGATTCAGCTTCAGCTTTTCTCTTCTGAGATTCTGTCCTTTTAATTACAGGACTACTGCTTTGTAACTGACTAGAAACAGATTCTTGCTTCACTTGCACTTGTGAACCAAAATGTGTATCATGAGATGTGCTTGGTTGTATATCTTGCTGTGCAGACTGTTGTGAAACTGATTGCACTTGTGTAGCAGGTTGCTGTGAAACTTGTTGTGTAGTTGGCTGTGTGGTTAGTGGTGTATGCATTTGAGTAGTGTTAAAAGGCAGAAACACTTCCTTATTTGAATGAATCCTATCCCAACCACTGTGTTGTTGAAACTTTACACTTTTAGAAACTAACACCCTATTATTACCACACCAAAATCTCCAACCTTTTGACTCAGAAGCAGGGCCTAGATATTTCAATTTCTTCCAAATAGAATCCTTCTTATGTCTTTGTTGAGAAGGAATTAAGACATATGAGTCACTTCCAAAAACTCTGATTGAACTCAAATCAGGAGTTTTCCCAAAAAACAATAAATAAGGAATACTATTGACACTTTTGCAAAAAGAACGATTGAGCACAAAAGTAGCATTTGCCACAGCTTCAGCCCACAATCCATCAGATAAATTAGCATCTCTTAACATTTTTCTAGCTACAATTTTTAGAACACCTATCCACCTTTCTGCAACCCCATTTTCACTAGGTGAGTAAGGATTTGTTAACCTGTGAACTATGCCAAACTTTTCAAGCAAATGTTTCATTTGTTTGGACATAAACTCTGCACCACGATCACTTTGAAAAGCCTGTACTGGATACTCAGGAAACTGTGTTTGCATTAGCTTCAGCCAAGCAGAAATTTTCTGAAAAACTTCACCTTTAGTTCTTAGAAAGAAGGTGAATTTCAACCTAGAAAAATCATCCACCAAAATCAAAAAATATTTTGACCCGCCTACAGAAGTAGGATGAGGACCAGATACATCAATATGGATAAGCTCTAAGATGCTTTTTGAAACTCTAGTACTGTATTTTGCTATAGGAGCTTTCTTAAGATTTTCTGCTGCACAAATTTCACAATCTAGAAAATTCTTACATCCTTGAATAGGAATTTTACACAACTCAGCTGTTTGTCTTAAATACTGCCATGACAAATGACCCATTTTCCTGTGAAATTCATGAATACATTTGTCGTGTAATGGCCTGGGATTATCAGGTATCTGCTTAATGCAAGCTGACACATTTTTAGCAGACTTTAAAACAAAAAATCCCTTCTCTTGTCTCAGCTGTACTTCATTACCTTGAAAGTCAATTAACTTAGACTTATCCTTCTTCAAAGAAATCTCAAAATCTTCATCTAGAAGTTTGTTAACACTGAGAATATTATACATAATATTGGGTACATAGTACACATTCTCAAGAGTACATTTCAGACTATCAGTATAAAAATCACCACAAGAAATTACCTTAACTTTTCTATCATCTGCCAAAGAAATAAAATTTATATCAGAGTCTCTCACATTCGTCAACAGTTCTATAGTTTTTACCAAATGTTGAGAACAGCCTGAGTCAATGAAAAGAGTTCATTATATCCTTCTTAGAGGTCACCAGGAAAGCATGCTGTAAGTCCTTTGAAGAACTAGGTCTTTCCACTTGCTTGTTTCTCCATTGTCCTTGATTCTGTTTGCAATTCTTAGCATAATGCCCTTTCTTTTTACATTTAAAGCACACAATTTGCGATTTTGGCTTAGCAACACAAGCAGTGTCATTAGAAGTAGTCCCAGAACTTGAACTTTTCTGTATAGGAGCAAAACTCCTCAATTTGCGTTGAGCCTCAAATTCCATAATTTTTCCTGAAATAAAAGGTATCGTGAGATCCCTGTCAGGAATTCCATGAAGAGAGTCCATGAACGCATAAAAAGGGCGAGATAGAGATCCCATCAAGATTAACGCTTGTTGCTCAGGGGGAAAAATAATGTCTCTTGCTCTCAACTCCGAAAAAAGAGCCACAACTCTTGTAACATGAGTTTGAACTGGAGAGCCCTCCTCATGTTTGAGGTTAAACAGCTGCCTCATAAGAATTATCTTCGAACCGCTTGATTGTCTCTGAAACATATCTTTAAACAAATTCCACGCAGTTTGCGCATGCAGAATATTATGAAGATGCACCAACAAAGAATCTGACACAGACAATTGAAGAAGTGCCAAAGCTCTTTCATCTTTATGTTGATCCGCAGGAGTTAATTGAGCTGGCAAGTTCTCAATTATGTCCCATAAATTCTGAGAAACAAGAAAAGCTTTAAATCTGACGCTCCAACTGAGCCAGTTACTTTCAGAAAGTTTATCAAAAGGGAGTGAACCAACTTGAAGAGGCGGCAAAGCCATTGTGGTATTTCACTTTAAAGTCCCAAAAAGTCCAGAAACAAAAATACTCACTGCACCAAAAGAAAAGACCCCCAGTACACCCGGGTTTAAGCTCAGCCAATTTATATTCACTACTTCAAGTAAAATTGGCTTCTAGCAGTCCAATATCTTTGCAGTAATTCTCTGGAATCCAAACACAGGGTCTGACACACAAACTGTTTTCTTCTTCTTTAGGCTTCTGAAACTTTTGTTGAAAACACCTCTGTGCAAGGCAAGACAGGAAAGCAACTTAGTTGGCCCTTGCTGCTCAGGCACGTAGAAGGCAAATTTTCCAACATAGCAAGCCATAAATCTTCTTGATTTCTCTGAAGGCAAATCCTCCAAGGTTTAGTGTACAGCAGCAAGCCATCACTTTAAACCTCACTGCTGATCAAAACAGCCAGGAACAGAAGATTCCAACAAAAAATGCCTTCAAAAACTTCTTAATGTTCCACCACATATTTACCTCAGACATGCGCATTATGCAGCGTTCTGGGCCCATAACCTGTTAGCAGAGTCTTTCTTTATTATAAATTCATAGTGGAAAACATCAAAAGTAAGAAAACAAACATCTTGCATCAGATATCAGACCCTAAACAAAACATTTAGAGTCCCAAACTCCAAAACGCCATAGCTTCTCCAAAAGCTCAAGGCTATAGCAATAGCAGAACGCTGAGGGACGCTGAAAGCTGCTGAAGGCTGCTGCTGGCTGCAGGCAGATGCAACACATTATAACCACAGTAATTAGATCCACCTGCACCCAATTAACCAAAACCACATCACAAGCATTTCAGCAATTAAAGATACAAACTTACTTATACATACATAACCCAAATACATACAATGAACAGATAAAATTTTGCACATTTTTACAGTTCTCCTGACAAGAGTATATAAAAATAAGCAAATCTAAAAAAAGGAGAATCGAAGTTCAAACAGTTATTTCCAAGGTAGCCAAGATTTCAAAATCCTTTCAAATATAGTCTCAAGAGTCAATCCCCAGATATATCCATAAACATGATAGCATGAATCCAAGGCAGACAACCTATGCAACATGAAACTAGAACCAGGAACAAACTTAGAAACTTAATTACATGAATACACAAACATAGGACCAGTAATCGAGAGCAGTTCATCTGAATACAACATTGCTCTCACAAAGAATTGTACCAGTAGAAAACCACTTAAAAGGTCTCAAACACTCCCATGACATCATTCCTCATACACCTGCTTTTCCTCTCCTTATCTCTAAGCCACTGGTAAAAGCGAGTCTGTTTCTGTTGTACGCTCTGCCTCCAAAGTTCCAAGCACCTTGATCTGGACAAACATTCATCTCCCAAATTTCTCTCAGCCTGCACTTCTGGCGGATTTTCATGAGAACTCATATCACGTTCTCCAGTCTTATGGGAACTGCCAGGAAATTCTAAAACAACTCTCTCCAGGCTACTTCTATCCTCTGGGCCCTCTGAATCTATCCCAACATCCCCTTCTCATCTTCTGAGCAATCAGAATCTGATCAGGCTACAACAACATGAATGATTGACTCCATCCAAATCTGTCTGCTGGTAGCTCAACCCAGCTCTCCTTCTCCTTTTCCTTTCCAGGTTCATTAGAAAACTTTGGCAGGAATATAGCGCTTCCAATCCCCAGGTGCCTCCCTTGGAGGAAACAACCAGGGAGGACTTGTCATTCGAAGGAGGAGAGGACACTCCAGATGCTGCCACAATCACTTCTCTTCAAGATTGCATGTTCCGTATATGGCAGGAACTCAGCAGTAATTCTGATTTCACCAGGTATAAAGATCCAAAACAAATTGCTTGAAATAGGGACAAAGAAAACCATGGTTATTTCAGGAACCACCGATCAGTCTGTGGTGGACCATCAGATGTCTGCTAATTGCAGTCTTTTCCAAGTTTGCATCTCCCCTGATTTCTTGGACAGCATTTCCCAGATTTTTTTTTCATGTCAGGAGTGACTTGAGAAACTGCAAGTTGCTTCTGATGTGAGAGAATTGGACGTCTGCAAGGACGTTGCCCAGAGAACGCCCGAATGTTTTACCATCCTGTGGGTGGTTTCTGTCATGTCCCCGCATGAGAAGCTGGAGCTGGCAGACAAGAGCTCACCTTGCTCACTGGATTCGAACCACCAACCTTTCAGTCAGCAGTCTTGCCAGCACAAGAGTTTAACCCATTGTGTCACCAGGGTCTCATTTGCCAGATAAGGTTGCAGGCACCCAAGGCCCCAGACCCCTCCTCACTCTGCTTGTTGGTGTGTCTCTCTCCTTGCAGCATGGTGAAAGGTGCCACTGGTAAAAACCCTCTGGAAGTCCTGGCTGATGTGTCTGAACACCTGTTTGCTGACAGGATCAACTGGGGTCGGATTGTTGTCTTTTTCTACTTTGCCTACAGAGTTATTGCCCAGGTAAAAAACAGGGAAGCAAAAGAAAGACCCAGAAAGCACTGAGGTAGGTGAGAAAGGGAAAAGAATCAAAAGGATCACAGATAGTTTTAATGACAGATTTTATACTTCCACTCTATGTTTAACTTTTGTTTTGTGTATTTTAGCATGTAAAACAAGATAACTCTGGGGGGTGATGCTCATCCCCATTTCTAAGCCTAAGAGCCAGTGTTGTCCATAGACACCTCCAAGATCATGTGGCCAGCATGACTGCATGGAGCACTGTTACCTTCCCATAGAAGCGGTACTTATTGATCTACTCACATTTGCATGTTTTCAGACTGCTTGGTTGGCAGAAGCTGGGCCTAGCGGCAGGAGTTTACCACGCTCCCCAGCTTCAAACCATCAACTTTTTAGTCAGCAAGTTTAGCAGCTCAGCAGTTTAACCCGCTGCAACACCAGGGGCCCTTTTAATATGTATTTTATGGAAATGTGTTTTAATAAGTGTATTGTATGGAGTGTTTTTAAATAATGGTTTCAGCAGTACTGTAGCCTGCCTCAAATCGTGAGGAGAGGCGGATAAGAAATAAAATTATTATTATTGTTGTTGTCATTATTATTAATGTCTCTCATTCCAGCAGCCTTCTAGCTATGAATGTGCAGGCCTTCTGGCTCAGAGCTGGTTCTACTTTTAGGCAGGGTAAAGTAACTGACTGAGGCAGTGGATGCTGGAGGGCAGCAGTTGCAATAATTGTCTGGCTCCTTATTGTCTAAGGAAAGATACACAGCAGGCATCCCTTCATCTGTTTGGGCACCCACCTCCCAAGAGCCCTAACCAACTTGTTCAATGGTCAGGAATTCTGTGAGTTGGGAGGTCCAAACAGCTGGAAGACCGTAGTTTGAAGACTGCCATTACCGTGGAACCCATACCCATGCTCTCATTTACTCATGCCCAGAGGAAATGGCCTTTCTAGAAATGTTCTAGGTCCTCCAAGTGATTATATGGAATTATGTTGGAGGATGCAAATTCCTAGATGGGAAAATAAGAACAAGCAGGCAATGCCCCCTCTCCACCATGAAAGATGTGATAGCAGTAGTTCCCCTGCTGTACACTTTTTTATCGTGTCAGAAGTTACTTGAGAATATACTGCAAGTTGTTTCTGGTGTGAGAAAATTGGCCATCTGCAAGGGCGTTGCTCAAGGGATGCCCGGATGTGTTACCATCCTGTGGGAGGCTTCTCTCAAGTCCCCACATGGGAAGCTGGAGCTGACAGATGGGAGCTCACCTCATCTTATAGATTCAAACCACTGAACTTCAGGTCAGCAGTTCAGCTAGCACAGAGGTTTAACCCATTGCGCCACTGCGGGTTCTTACAAATTAAAAAAAAAGAGATCACCTTGGCATGGGTGTATCCAGACAGATCTCAGTTGCATCCTTCTGTGATTTTAGAGTCCAGAATTCACATCTCCATTTGGCCATGGAAACCCACTGGGTGACTTTGGGCAAATGAAATACTCTCAGTCCGAGTAAACCACCCACTGACTTGAAGGCACTCAGGAACAACATATATTCCCTCTGCTGTTTTGGAGCAAGGAAGGCAGGAGCCACAGTCTGGGTGGCAGGAAAAGCCATTACTAGCAGCCCTGTTGAAATGGGACACTGAGCACCAAATGTGCCTTTCTTTCCCTGTTCATGAACTGAGCACCCAACCCAGCCTTATGGCACCTCCAGTCCTACTCAGGACTTTATGCTGTTGTCTGGTTATACTACACAACCTTAAACTTTTCCCCCTGTCTCTTTGGGAAAAAAAATCGATAGTTATAATCTTTTTTTTCTCTGACCCTAGTACACACCGAGTTGGTTCCGTGATGTGGTGGGTTGGGCCATGACCTTCCTACAGAACCGCCTGGCTAACTGGATCCAACAGCAGGGAGGCTGGGTGAGTGTTATATGGGGAGAATTTGCCCAACGAAATTGTGTTGTATGATATTCAAGGCCTGGGAAGAATATTGAGGATAATGGATACAGCAGTACATGTGAAAAAGACCTTGGAGTTGTCACTGAGAACAAGTTAAACATGAGCCAACAATGTAATACGATGGCAAAAAAAAGCCAATGGGATTTTGGCCTGCATAAATAGGAGTCTAGTGTCTAGTTCCAGGGAAGTCATGCTACCCCTCTATTCTGCCCTGGTCAGACCACACCTGGAATCACACTGGGTCCTGTTCGGGGCACCACAATTGAAGGGAGATGTTGACAAGCTGGAAAGTGTTCAGAGAAGGGTGACTAAAATGACAAAGGGTCTGGAGAATAAACCCAATGAGGAGCGGCTTAAAAAGCTGGGCATGTTTAGCTTTCAGAAGAGAAGGCTGAGAGGAGACATGATAGCCCTGGATAAATATGTGAGAGGAAGTCACAGGGATGAGGGAGCAAGCTTGTTTTCTGCTGCCCTGGAGACTAGGACGCGGAACAATGGCTTCAAACTACAAGAAAGGAGATTCCATCTGAACATTAGGAGGTGTTGCCAGAACAAACAGACATGCTGCCATTACGGGATCACTGACCATCGGTGTATAGATCATGAACTGTTAGGATCGCAACCTAATCGGGTTAGCAGAGTTTAAGATAACAAGTTTTGTTATTGACAGCAGAAGATGTCACTTCAATATCTTTAAACTTACTCGCCCAATGACGCACAGTACTCACATCAACACAATCAGCATAAACAGCTTGCATTCTCTGATGAATCTCCTTTGGGGTGTCACCTTCTGCTGTCAAGAATTCAATGACTGTATGTTGCTTAAGTCGCATTTACCGACCATCTGCGCAGGGTTCCATACTTTGCATTTTAACAACAGAACCATCCAATGCTAAGGTTTCCTACCAAAATGGAACTGTAGAGGAGAGTCTATTGAACAAGCCAGTACCTGCCACATACCAGTACTGCCATCTGTTGAGGAGTTACAGAGGTGGAGGCATTACTTTTCATTCAACCCTCATAGTTTCAGCAGTGCAATCTGTAAGTTTGGTCAACAGGAGCTCATATAGAGAGCTTTATTCAGTATATAATCCATTCTAGAGGTTATTGAAGCATGAGTATCAAATCAACAGGCTGAACAGCTTTGTCACCACCATAGTTGAATTTCTGAAGCTTATCATTTATTTACTACTCCTCTCTTTATTCTCCTTCCAGGAGGGCCTCCTGTCTTACTTCGGCACCCCAACTTGGCAAACCATTGCTGTATTTGTGGCTGGCATCTTGGCTGTCTCACTGACCTTCTGGAAAATATCTTAATGTTCGACTGTCTTCGGTTGGGCTACATTTAAGTTATCTGGGAACAAATGGGGGCAGGTTCCCCTGGTTTTCCAATTCAAGAATTAATATATACTAAGGTTTTTCTTTCAGTTGTGGGCTGGGAAGATTTTTCAAGTAAACAAACAAACAAACTCTGATGCTCTTTATCTAGGTGCCTTTCTATGGGGAGAAAGCTTGCTCCCTTCTTTTTTCCCCTTCTTGGATTTCCCTTCTTGGCATCATATAGCTTCAGGGGCTAAAAGACAGAAGGTCATAGAGCTTGTCATGGCTTTGGAAAGATTGGGAAAACAAGACAAAGGATGTGAGAAGGTTGTTCTCATTTGCTGTAACAAACAGTTCGCACTGCCTGACTTGTATGAGGTTTTCGGGAAAAAGGCTCCAAGATCTCACTTAAAAAACACCAGCAGTTCCCCAGCTTTCTCCATACGTCTGCATAAAGCAAGTTTTGCCTGTCTTCCTTTCTTTTCCTTGATATGGCAAATCTTAGAAGTTGAATTTGGACAGAATTTGGCCATAGTAGTCCACACTCTGGTTACATCCTGAATAGACTACTACAATGTGCTCTACATGGGGTTGTCTTTGAAGACTGTCCAGAAGCTTCAAATGGTCCAGCAGGCAGCAATCAGATTGCTCACCAGAGTGATGTACAGGGAGCATACAAACCCTCCTGTTACGTCATCTCCACTGGCTGCCAGTCTGCTACCAAGCACAATTCAAAGTTCTGGCTTTAGCCTATAAAGCCCTCAATGGTTCTGGCCCAGCTTACCTGTTTTAACATATCTCCCTCTATGAGCCAGCTAAGGGGTTAAGATCTTCTTGGGAGGTCCTGCTGTTGATCTCACCTCCTTCGCAGGTACGACTGATGAGGACGAGAGACAGGTCCTTCTCAGTGGTGGCCCCTCAGCTGTGGAATTCCCTCCCTAGGGATATTAAATTAGCCCCATCCCTCCTGACTTTCCATAAGAAAGTAAAAATGTTGCTTTTTGATCAAACTTTTGAAGATCTTGTGCAATAGATAAATATGGAATTATGTGCAATGACTATTGGAATGGACCAGGTTATGATTTTGGATAACGTGGTTAACAGTGAAGGCATTTTTAATATGTTTTAATGTATTTTATAATTCTATTTAAATGCATATTTTAACTGTACATTGTTTGAAGGCATTGAATAGTTGCCTATGTGTAAGCCACCTTGAGTCCCCTCCGGGGTGGAGAAAGGCGGGGTAGAAATGTTGTAAATAAATAAATAAATCTTCAGAAATGCAGATCCATAATTCCTCTCTTTTAGTTTGGAAAGGACTAGAGATATTTAATCTGAGGAGAACTTGCCCAACAAAATTGTGTTATATAATATCAAAGGCCTGGGAAGAAGGACTCTTAATTAATTAAGTTATTTATTTATTTATTTATTTATTTATTTATTTATTTGCTTACTTACTATATTTTTACCCTGCTCTATCTCACCCCGAAGGGGACTCAGAGCAGCTTCCAAACTGGCAATGATTGAATGCCATACACACAAAACATAAATACAATATATACAAAGTTAAGGTAAAGGTTTTTCCCTGGCATTAAGTCCAGTCGTGTCTGACTCTGAAGGTTGGTGCTCATCACCCTTTCTAATCTGAAGAGCTGGCGTTGCCCGTAGACACCCCCAAGGTCATGTGGCCAGCATGACTGCATAGAGCACCGTTACCTTCCCACCAGAGCGATACCTATTGATCTACTCATATTTGCATGTTTTCGAACTGCTAGATTGGCAGAAGTTGGGGCTAACAGTGGGAGCTCATGCCACTCCCTGGATTTGAACCACCAACCTTTCAGTGAGTAAGTTCAGCAGCTCACATACATTATGAATATACACATTCATTAAAATAAATAAAAATTAAAAATCATAGCTTATCAATACATTAAATACATTAAGATCAACTATTAAAACCACAGAAGATCCAGGATCCAGGAGCCATTCCAATCATGTTACAATTGCAGTAGACCTCACTACCTCTGAGGACACTTGCCATAGATGCAGGCGAAACGTCAGGAGAGAATGCCTCTAGAACATGGCCATACAGCCCGAAAAAACCTACAACAACCCAATGATTCCGGCCATGAAAGCCTTCGACAATAAATTGCAGTAGAGTCTTGCTTATCCAACATAAACAGGCTGGCAGAACGTTGGATAAGCTAAAATGTTGGATAATAAGGAAGGATTAAGGAAAAGCCTATTAAACGTCAAATTATGTTATGATTTTAGAAATTAAGCACCAAAACATCATATTTTACAACAAATTGACAGAAGAAGCACTTCAATACAAGGTAATGTTATGTAGTAATTACTGTATTTACAAATTTAGCACCAAAATATTGCAATGTATTGAAACAGCTGTGGATCTGGGCGGGAGGGAGACTGCATTGGATAATACAGAACGCTGGATGAGAAAAGGTTGGATAAGCGAGACTCTATTTAAAAAAACAAAGTTTAAAAGAAACTTGGCATTATACTAAATGTCCTTTGACCAGTAGCTGGCCACTTGGAGTGCCTCTGGGGTTGCTATAAGAAAGTCCTCCATTGTGCATGTGGCAGGGCTCAGACTGCATTGTAGTAGGACTGTGGTTTGCTCTTCTGGGGGCATTGACTGCCGACTGTAAACCACCTTGAGTCGCCTTTGGGCTGAGAGGGGTGGTATATAAATATGGTAAATAAATAAATAAATATCCCATTTTGCATGTTGTGGACTCCACTATGTGGCCCCATTTCTTAAGGTTGGCTCTGCATCTTGTGCCAGAGTGCAGTCTGTTCAGTGCCTTCCAAGTTGCCCATTTTTGTGTGTGCCCAAGAGGGCGTCTCTCATTGGGTATCGGCCATGAATTGAGGTTTCGGGTTTTATCCTGCCACTTTTGAACTCTCGCTTGCTGGAGTGTTCCTGCGACTATCTCTGTAAATCTTAGAAAACTATTTATTGATTTAAGGTGTTGGCGTGAGACTTTCAACGAATGTGATGAACACAGTGGGTTATCAGATTTTATGTGTACAACCCAGTGGAATTTAACTAATGTGATGAAATGACTCTGGTGCTAATCTTTTACAGGGTTTTCTGGAGCTGAGAGTGTGTAACCCGCCAGGTTATCTGGTGGGTCTTCCTCACCAAGCAGGAATTCAAACCCTGACTTTCAAAGTCATGTGCCAATACTCAAACCAATATGCCATGCTGGCTCTCTAAGTTCAACTTAGAGTCACCATAAATCAGACACAACTATCCTTGATTTCCATTGAAAGAATCCATCTTTAAATTTTCTCAATTCTGTGGATGTTTGCAAGGGATCCTCCAGTGGTGCAGCAAATTGAACCACTGAGCTGCAGAACTTGCTGACCGAAAGGTTGGAAGTTCATATCAAGGGAGTGGGGTGAGCTCCCGCTGTTAGCCCCAGCTCCTGCCAACCTAGCAGTTTGAAAACATGCAAACGTGAGTAGATCAATAGGTACCACTTCTGCAGGAAGATAATGGCGCTCCATGCAGTCATGGTGGTCACATGACCTTGGAGGTGTCTAAGGACAATGCTGGCTGTTCATCTTAGAAATGGAGACGAGCGCCACCCTCCCAGAGTTGGATACAACTAGACTTAATGTCAAGGGGAAACCTTTACTTGTACCTTTAAGGATATTTGTTGCATTGACTTTAAATCTATTTTTTTAGTTAATTTATTATTATTATTTATTAACTATATTTGTACCCCGCTAGCATCTCCCGAAGGACTCGATGCGGCTTACACGGGCCGAAGCCTCAGAACGCACTACAATAGAAAACATAACACAACAATAACAAAGCAAATCAAAACAATTAAGCAAAATAACAACAATGACAATACATCAGTACATCAAGACACTGTTAAAAACTGGTTCGGCCGGCGCAGTGGGGTACAGGGTTAAAAGTGCTGAGATGGCAGGAGGAACGTAGGATTAAAAGTGTAGTGTGCAGTAACATTGATTGTGCTAAAGTGCTTCTAGGACTTGGGATGGGGATTCCTAATCTGAGAAGGCACATCGGAACAGCCAAGTTTTTAAATTCCTTCTGAAAACAGCTAGAGTGTGGGCCTGTCGGAGATCTTTTGGGAGGGCGTTCCAAAGTCGGGGGGCCACCACAGAGAAGGCCCTGTCCCGTGTCCCCACCAAACGCGCTTGCGATGTAGGTGGGATCACGAGCAGGGCCTCCCCAGATGACCGGAGGGAGCGTGTGGGTTCGTAGATGGAGATGCGGTCACGCAGGTAGGGTGGTCCCAAACCGTTCAGGGCTTTGTAGGTGAGCACCTGCACCTTGAATTGGGCTCGGAAAATAAACGGCAGCCAGTGGAGCTCCTTAAACAGAGGGGTAGACCTCTCTTGATAATGGGCCCCAGTTAACATTCTGGCTGCTGCCCGCTGGACCAATTGAAGTTTCCGAGCCGTCTTCAAGGGTAGCCCCACGTAGAGCGCATTGCAGTAGTCCATTCTAGAGGTGACCAAGGCGTGGACCACCCCGGCCAGATCTGCCCTCACGAGGTACGGTCGCAGCTGGCGCACAAGTCTCAGTTGTGCAAAGGCCCTCCCGGACACCGCCGACACCTGAGCCTCAAGTGTAAGCGAAGAATCCAAGAGGACACCCAAGCTGCGGACCTGTGGCTTCAGGGGGAGTGTAACCCCGTCCAACACAGGTTGCCACCCTATACCCCGATCCGGTTTACGATCGACCAGGAGGACCTCTGTCTTGTCGGGATTGATCTTCAGCTTGTTCTTCCTCATCCAGATCGACACAGCGGCCAGGCACTCGTCCAGCACCCGAGAAGCCTCCTTGGAATTAGGTGGAAAAGAGTAGTAGAGTTGTGCGTCATCCGCATAAAGATGGCACCCAACTCCAAAACTCCGGATGACCTCTCCCAGCGGTTTCATGTAGATGTTGAAGAGCATGGGCGACAGGATAGAGCCTTGCGGGACCCCACAGGTCAAAGGCCAGGGGTCAGAGCAGGCGTCTCCCAGCTTCACCATCTGGGTCCGTCCCTCCAGGAAGGACCGGAGCCACGACAGAACCGCGCCCCCGAGGCCCATCCCAGAGAGACGACCCAGAAGGATACCATGGTCGATGGTATCGAAAGCCGCTGAGATGTCCAAGAGAACCAGCAGAGTCACACTCCCCCTGTCCAGCTCTCTGCGGAGGTCATCCACCAAGGCGACCAAGGCTGTCTCGGTGCCATGACCAGGCCTGAAACCAGACTGTGACTGATCTAGGTAGTTGGTGTCGTCTAGGAAACTCTGGAGCTGGGAGGCGACCACCCGCTCCAGCACCTTACCCAGGAAGGGGAGGTTGGAGATCGGTCTGTAGTTACTCAGCACCGTGGAGTCAAGGGAAGCTTTTTTGAGAAGTGGGCGAACCACAGCCTGCTTCAAATTAGATGGAAAAATTCCTTGCTCCAACGATGTATTGATAATCGTTACAAACCAGTCAAGCAACCCCCCTCTGGCTGATTTAATGAGCCAAGATGGGCATGGGTCTAGAGATGAGGTGGTCGCCCTCACAGCCCCAAGAACCTCCTCTACGGTTTCAGGAAGAACAAGCCTAAAAGAATCCCACAAAGTTGGACAAGCAGGAGCCTCCGTCACCTCTTCTGACACTGCGATGGAATTGGAGTCGAGCTCAAGACGTATCTGGGCGACTTTACCTGCAAAATGGTGTGCGAAATCGCGACACCGAGCTGCAGGGTCTTCAGCGATCTCCTCCGCCACAGGTGGGTGGAGGAGTTCTCCCACGACCCGGAACAGCTCCGACGATCTATTTGCTGCAGATGCTATACGAGTGGTCGTGAATGATTTCCTGGCCACCCGTATAGCCACGGAGTATGCCTTAAGAGAGGCTTTAGCCCGTGCTCGATCAGATACATCTCGAGATTTCCTCCATTTGCGCTCTAGCCCCCTTCTCGTATGCTTCATCACAGCCAGCTCCTCGGTGAACCAAGGAGATGGCCTGTCACGACGCAACGAGATGGGGCGTTCAGGTGCGATCGTATCCAACGCCCTGGACATCTCCCCATTATAGAGAGCCACCAAGGCGTCGATAGAATCGCCAGGCTCCATGGCAGGAAGAACCCTAAGATTCCTCAGGAATCCATCCGGATCCATCAGTCTCCTAGGGCGGACCATCTTAATTTGTCCTCCACCCCTGCGGAGGTTTAGGGTCGCAGCAAGTCTAAAGGTGATCAGATGATGGTCAGACCATGACACTCAGGGCAGGAAGAA